ATGTCGGATATCTCTTTTTCCAGTTGCGTTGTGTTCAGCTTTGAGGATCGTGGTTACGATCCAATGGCACTACAGTTCTCCATCTGCTAGTCTGATCAGGATATGTATCACGCTAGTCTAGCCACCACCTGCCTCAGAGTTTTATGGACGATGGCGAGGTGGTATATAGAAATAAAGATATAGGTGACAAAATCATAACATAGGATCAGTCCATGAGACTACCACTTATCGTACTGAACAGTTTCTGAAGTCTCAGACCACCCAGCTAGGTATCGCTTAGTTTTCGTAGCCAATGATTGGGAACTTCTGGTAAAACGACTCAAAACCAGACGCGATGGAACAGGTATGCTCACTTTGTCTTCCCATATATCCCAGATTTCTAAATCTCTTAATAGTTTTTTCCATCACACTGAATCATATTATCATTTTGAATCATGTCTTCTGGGCTTCATGTGTTTTTATGTTATACAGTTATCATTTTTCCTACCTAGAATTTTGTGTCAGGTCATACGTTACATACGACAAACTGGTGTTCCACGGGGTGAGTACAGCTGAAAGTATAATGTGGGGTTTTTTTGGCGTCTTTTAACATGTTTGGCGTATATCTGTTGTGGCATTGGACAATAGCCACACAATCCACAAAGCTGTGAACACGAGACTACTCAGAAAATAGATATTCAATATTTAACGCGGAGAAATACCTAACAATGGAGAAGGTGCGAACAATGAATTGAACGGACTGGAGTTGATCGAGTGGCATGGCTCGTCCATGCAGGCGTGGTCTCTGCTGAATGTTACCTTATATCTTCTATTCGTATTAAATATATTGTTCTTTCTTTAGCCTAACCTTGTTCTACATCATGTATTGGTAATTGATACGATACAGTGAGTTGGTGTAGTCGATGGTGTGACTTCCACGTAAGATCTTATAGATTAGGCAGTTATATCATGACAAATCTACAAATTTAGGATTAGGTCTATTATTAGAGCAGTACTAATATCATAGTAGACCATAGTTCTACATATCTTTATCGGGACTATCTTTTCTTAAATCTATTTACACCGGCTTGTGTCCGAAGGAATCCAGCAGGACGCTTTTTGGGAACATCGTGAGTTACTATGGAGCACTCCTTTTGTAATATTTGTGCTTTAAGCGTTGGAGAAGGTATCACTCACAAGCCAATGCTCTCTTGACCATAGCACTTGAGAACTTTGTTTTGGCTAAGAAGCCGGACTTATTAAGTACTAATTCTGACCGTCTAATTTTGTCAGTAGTCTGGTAGCCCTCTTTGTTACATCTAGTTACTAGAATAGATTGTTCTGTCCTTAGACTGTTGGTAGAGGTGGGTCGTTTTCACTAACGTTAAATGGGATTATGGACTTAAGGTTAGAATTGCACAAGGCCGTTAAATGTGCGCAACTGCCTAATGGTGGTCGATCCTGGATAAACCAGGGTGGCCGCCACCTTGGTTCTAAGGGGTTGCACGACTTGCGCATCTATATTGTGTCCTGGGAAGTCTGATGAGTCAGCTCCGGTTTGGCATTTCTGACTGTTTACAGTGATGCTATGTTTTTGAAGTCGGTCGTAAACAAGATTCAGATGCTGGAGATGCGATTCTCTGTTCGGACTTTCTATTAGACAGTCGTCAACATACGCGTGTACGAAGTTGAGACCTCGAAAAACGTGATCTGTGAACCTTTGGAAAGTTTGTGCAGCGTTTCTTAGACCCAAAGGCATTCGCGAAAATTTGAAGAGTCCGAAGGGAGCTACGATAGCTGTTTTCGTAATATCGTCCGTAGACATGGGGATTTGGTTATAGGCTTTAACCAAGTCGATTTACGAAAAGACAGTTGTATCTTTCTAGGTAGCTGTCAAATCGTGAATGTGAGGCAACGAGTAGCGATTGGGAGTGCTTTTTGCATTCAATCGCCGATAGTCACCAGTTGGACGCTAATCGTTGCTGTTCTTTTTAGGGACCATGTGCAACGGAGATGCATATGGGCTGTTTGACGGTCTTATGATACCTAAGTCTATCATGTGATCGAACTCGTTTTTCGCCAACCTTAGCTTTTCAGGGGCTAGTCGTCGTGCTTTAGAGAATACATGTGGTCCTGCAGTCGTGATGTGATATTTAACGTTGCTGGTTACACACGGTAGTTTCGGTTGCGTTTGATGAATCCCGGGATACTTACCGAGTAGTGGTTGATAAAGTGGGTCTATTGTATGCTTAATTGTGACTGGGGATAATCTGCAACCAGAAAAAGAAGTTACGCAAACAGATAAATTAGTATTTACGTCTACTAGCATCCGTTTGCGTGTATCGATGAGTAGATTACGGTGTTGTAGGAGGTCTATGCCAATGATAGGCATTGAAACATCTGCAACAGCAAAAATCCAGTGTATAGGTTTGCGTAAACCTGTAGAATTATGATCTACTACGATATTAGTACTGAGCTAATATAAGACCTAATCCTAAAATTGTAGACTTGTCATGATATAACTGCCTAATCTATAAGATCTTAAGTGGTAGTCACATCATCATCTACACCAACTAACTGTATCGTAACAACTACCAATACATGGTGGAGAACAAGGTTAGGCTAGAGAAAGAACAGTATATTTAATATGAATGAAAGATAAAATGTAACATTCCGCAGGAGCCACGCCTACATGGCCGAGCCATGCCATCCGATCAACTTCAATTGATTCAACTCATTGTTCCCGCCTTTTCCATCGTTAAGTATTTCTCCGCGTTAAATATTGAATATCTATTTTCCGAATAGTTTCGTATTCAGCTTTGAGGATTGTGTGGTTATTGTCCGATGACAGTACAAACTCACGTTAAGGTAAACGTACCTTTTACCGTATGTGGCGATAGGCTTTCCGCTTGCCGCTTGTAAGTTTAAAACTGATTCGCGAAGCCGGTCGTTGGAATTTGCAGGAAGAACGTTAACTTCTGCGTCAGTATTGGCGAGGTAGCGAACTTTCGTTATTACATCTGTGACGTATAACAGACGGCTCTGTTCGCCGGCTACTGTTGCCGTTAACGTGTGCCGGCTTGGAAGTTTCCCGAATTGGTTTTGTGTCGGTCGATTTTGAGTTGGGAAAATTTCAGGGTTTTCTGGGACATCTGGAGGACTTTCCATACTGGTTATGATACCAGCACCAGTCGGGGTTATCAGTCTCTCGTGGTCTAGAGACAGGTCGCTATGGTAGATCAATATGGTAGTGGACTACGGTCAGCAGATAGATAGATATATAGATAGACAGCCAAATGAAGGGGCTGGTAAGAGGATTCACGTGTAAGACACTCGAATTAGTCAAGCAGCTAAACACAAGTTAACCAATAGAATCGAATAAATTCATTTTGCAGTCGTAATATCAGATTTTTTTTCTGAAATAAGTATACGGTTATGTTCATTTGGGCTATCTGCATTAAATACCGTAATAACTCATCGACTTGTCCAGTGAAATATATAGAGATCAACCATCATCATTAGCATACTCGAATTAATGTGCTAACTTAGGATTTCCGTAATAGTACTATTTAATGCAGGTTGAACTACATGAGCACAAATGAACGTATAATATTTAGAATTCGCAATCAGCCGTCAATCAAGTACAAAGGAATCATCAGTTAGTACAAATGTCACATCTAGTCATGTTGAATTACTTGAAAATTTGAATAGAACATAGTTGATAATTGAGACAAACGAAACTATATTCCATGTGGGATAATTTGACACTTTTGTATCGTTAACGAAATCCCTCGTCGTAGCACTTCATTTAACCCAAAATTTACTAAGAGCTGTGAAACCTATGAATCATCTCATATTTACAAATTGTGATTATTTGAAGAAATGAGGCTTCACTATATATACATTGAAGATGCCACAGGTATTTGGAGTTTGACAACACTTTAACCAGTAACACTTAATATGAATCGTACACACCAAGTGAAATCAGAAGACAGAACCGAGTAGGTTCGAAGATATACTTGATAGGATATCAATATATTGTGAACCGACTGATCTAATTTGGCTAGCGATTGGAGGGATTGTTGAGCACGGCGTTCCCACTCGCGATCTGGTGCGGATGCATGACCGAGCGCCTTCAGCTAGATGAGCCTATTAAAACTAATATGGTCAGCATTCAATGTCGACGACTTACAGATCTATTGATTTTGAGGATTTATTTACCAGAACTATGTTATATATTAGCGCAATACATTTCGAACAATCTGATCACGCATATACTTGTTAAGAGCATTTATATACCCTATTTCCAGTCTAGTTGACTTTTTATTTGTATATATAAATGCTCTTAACAAGTATATGTGTGCTCAGATTGTTCGAAGTGTATTGCGATAATATACCACATAGTTCTGATAATCTTCATCTTCTAATTACATTATCGAAATTTATAAAAGGGACTAATTGTTTTAGATTTATTTACCGCTACCTTCTCTTCTACATTTAAATATACCTATGTTTTTATCACAAGGCATCTGTGACCCACTGCTACTAGATATAGAAGATCGTTAAGCGAAATCTTCTTCTATTCTTTCCAGAACCATTTGGTCCACCTGAGTGTTCACTGACTGAAATGCTTTAACGTTAAAGCATTTCACTATTTGTTCGGTACCGATCAAGTAGTGTCGGCTCCATCAGTAAATATTTCCAAGGAGTAGGTGGATGTTCACTGGAAAATGAGCTGCGAGGACTAGACCAGGTTTACCGATCTATTTTCTCTATTAGTGAGGACTACGACCAAAGATGTTGAAGATTTTCCTTTTTTCGAAAACTAGATGAGCCGCTTGGTGTTCAAGAACGTTTGATGCTTCGGGCTTGCATCTCTAGTTTGCACTCTGGAACCGTCTTTTCAATCTAATATACACGGTTCCTGCTTGGAGGTATTGGTGATTCAATGCTTCTAGACACGGAAGCCTGTTAGGCGAAAGCTTATTTTTTCTGTCTACAACCATTTGAACCATTTAGATGACTTATCAAGGTCGTCTGGTATTTGAGCTACCTTGCTCGTTTGTTACGCCTTGCTTCCGTTTTGCAAAAGTCAGTCCAGCATCGGGTAATTTTACTGATAAAAAATAAATTCCGTCTGCAGTTCATGCACAATAGACACATGGTCACTAACATTTTTTACCTCGGTCAAGGGACCACAAATTCCCAACTTTGGTACCTTGAGTAAAAATCCTAATCCTGGGCAAATTTAAGGTTTCCTCTGTCTCATTTTCTCAAAATTAACGCAAGTTCGGGATCTTCACTCGATTTACCGATAAGTCCCCTATTCTCAGAAGTCTCAAGGTGTTCACACGCATTAAGAAAATCCTATGAGATATTAATATGAAGAACTGCTCGCGGACGGGGTGTTTATCCATCGAGTCTTCATCACTAGTGAGGCTTGCTTAGATATATCTAACATAGCCCCATGTTTTTGGTTGATGTCGTTCCTCAAGTTAAAGTAAATGGCCAATACTACAGTTTCACTCGATGTATGGATCCATTAGTACTTAGTTACTACCTTAATCACATGCTAGAAAATAACTCACTCGATAAATTAGTGGACCATAGTTCACTCATATATTGTGGACCAACCGTATCAAAAATCGTATTCATTTTTCTTCTCTAGAAGTTGAATCAGTTTTAGTATATGCAGATAACTGTCAGATATGTATAGTTTCATTTTTCATAACAAGCATGCTTCGATGAATGCTACATATTTCGACTAACTGTTTGTCAACTGGCTGATATTGTAGCGTCCATTAGGTTTACTGTCTGCTAGTGTCTTAATCATTGGCATCTCTCCATACGAGATCGGAGCATTAATACCACACTTGCGTGAGGGATAGCGATACTATTCAGATATCCAGACTAAACAATGTGGTGCACGTTTTTATTGCGGGATCTAGTGGCTTTGAACCTAGTGATTGAACCATTAATGCACCTCTTATGTGATAATCCATATACCTTGTATTTTCATGGATTGGGTAGTCATTAGCAGCTGAGGTCAACGTTGTTTCAATTCAGTCTGGGCCTAACAAAAAAGACGAGAGCATAATAGTCAATGTGTATAGTAGAACAACTACATCTATCCTTAGGCCATTTTTATAAAGGCATTTTCACGAATACTTTCACCCGTAGTTTTTCGTATTAGCTGTAATGTCAGACAATTTTAGATCATTTGTATTTGTTTATATTTTAGATTTTGGGTAATTCGTCCAACGCTCGTATTTCTTTTGATTTTTAACCACAAAAATATTTGGGACTTCGGTTCTTAACTAACAACCAATCATCTGTTACATTATGAACTATTATGAGCTCAACATTGAGGTAAGTGACTCACAATGGGTGGATGTAGACAGAATTTCGGTCTCGATTTTCTGTAGAGCCTACTGAGTAGGGTTGTGCCATACGTTGACGATAATTTGCACTTATCATCCATTACGTCATAGTTGGTCACGTAAAAGCATCCTTCATTATCTGTTTAAGTTACATGTTACCTAAACATCTATTCAAACCGATAAGTGGGTAAGTTGGGAAGAATGGTGAGATCATAATTAGAGATATATAAAGGAGCTTAGTTTTGGTAAAACATAGGTTTCTGAGTGTACTGCACAACAGACCAACCAAATTATAGTAAGTGTCGATGTTGAACACCTCAACATAGCGGTGGGTTGATTGCCAGAAAATTTACCTATCTAGTTGGTTTCATATTCTAATCCTGCTACACTTACTTCAACTTGAGCTGCCGGGGTGCCATTATTACTGCTAACAAGAAATGTGTAATTGCTGAGTACATAAAAGATAAACTTGGTGAGTGAACTTAGTTTTACTCCTTTTTACAAGTATATTCCACGATCGCTGTTAGTTTTATGTAAGCTTATTTCCCAACTAGTTTGGATAAGGACAAGCAATGTATTGAAATACTGATTTGAAAGAACTAAAGTCTCTTCTCATCAGTGCGATGAATCTAATTTTTATAGTTGCTGAGATAAATGTTAGTGTTGTTTTCCATACTTAAACGTAGTTCAACTGAAATATAAAGCTGTTTATTACGATAAGTATAAAATGTAAGCTCAAAGTCTGGAAGCCCAACCATGTTAGCTTCTAACTGTAAAGATTTCGATGATTTAGAAATCAACTTCAAGAAATGACCTTTTGTAAACGTAAGTTGGAATGTGTATTTCGAGTATGTGCATTAACTTTTATAAGTGCTTTTGGATTAAGGTTGATAAAACCACGACTTTCCGATAAAATCTATCCATAGTTCTTTAATAATCAAATAAGATTTTGACTGTTTTAGGTAACTAATTATATACTGTCATCTATCTTTCAATGATTACATAAAGTTTTAGCATCGTTAGGTGAGTCAGTCATATTCAACGAAGAACCTGACGCATGCCTAGGTTCAAGTTACCATGTCACATTAACACAACGAGATGGAATTATCGGGATAAATCCAAGAGTGGTAGAGGTAGTCGTAGTAATTGTAGTATTAGAAAACGTTAGGTATAGAAAAGAGGAAAAAAAGTACAGGGAGATCTAGGGAATAATTGAAAACAAAGAACGAATGCACGTACGGTATTGCACACGATCATAAGTCATGCCACCGAAAGTCTCCAACAATAATCTTGCGGACCCCAACCAAGCAGTCTGCACCTACGTACATGGTTCAGATCATTTTTTTAAGTGACTTCATGAATTGGTCCCTTAGGTAACATAACATAAACCTGAAGTTTTGAATTATTTGAAATCACGAGTTATTTTTCACAAATAAATTATCTAGTGATCTTACATTTTGAACCAACCTTGTGAGGGCTCAGATCATCATACTGAATTTAAAAATTTCGGTGAGAATGATGAATTATTTGTTGAAAAATCACAGTAAAGATACTAAGTTTATTTGGGATTTACCGACCGAATCGTCTGAGTGAAATATCTAATTAACCATTAAATACCGAGTACACAACACCGTAGTCTTCTCTAAAATACTACGTCTACAGTCTTAAAAAAGCGTCTCTGGATTAGAAATATTTCATCGCGTTCCCAATGCTCACTGGCGTGTAGTGAAAAAAATGTTGGATGTCTAATGGCTTTATGCGTCATCCCTGAAAGGGTCACGTAAGTTTTTACCTACTTCGGGGGAAAGGTATTAAATCTTGTCGTTTACATGATGTGGTTAAGTAGACTTGTGCCAAACAATTTATAATTTGTTGGATTTTTGATACATGCTACATACATATTAGTTATTCATTTCGTATCTGAGAAGTTTGTGAAAACAAAGTTTATGAGGAGAAATGACTTGGGGAAAATAATGTACAGTTTAAATAATCGCGAGTCGCTGTTATTAAAAATTCTAGGCACCTTGAAGTAGATTACACTTCCTTACTACCATAATTGAGGTGAAAAATTGAAAATAGATTACATGCTCAGAAGTATATTTTTGTAACTATTTAACTTCAAAATATTGGTTATTATGTGTTTACTAAATACCCTGTCAGCAGCGCTTATTATTATTATTATCATTATTATGGACCTGAGACATCGTGTCCTAAACATTCGAATTTTAGTTATTACCTGAGGGTAAAACCTTAGGTCATCTACTTCTTAAGTATCCAGGCGTTGTCTTCAGCTCTCATTCAACATGCCTTAACTATTTAATCGGACAACCATTTCTACCATAGGACTGTACTTTTTCAACTGGCTAGTCCAATAACATGAGTTGTTGCTTATAGTGCGAATATTTCCAAACTGATATTTGTAATCACGCAGAAAAATGATGCTAGTTGAAAAGATATTTCTTCCTGATTTGTGGAGAGACATGTTTCGTGGTTAGATTTCTCACGATGACATACTTAGAAATCGATCACAGTTGTCCCGATATAATTATTTCTTATTCGAATTTAGGACTGATTTTTCATCTCCCGTTCTTCTTGTTCATCGTGATATCGTTCTCATGTAGTTGGCTTCCTACTTGTATTATTTATTTGGACACATAGATATTGGTACAAGGGGGCACCACATACATATGCGCCACACAAATCTCATTCGATTTGTGTGAGGGCTGTGATACTGCCCGGGTACCCAAACTTGTGCTGTTTAGTGTTATGAAAACCTATACTGGGTTCTACAATGGAGGCATACTTCTAGCTAGGTAATTTGCCCCGGTTTTTTTTTAAATTACGTATCATTCAGTTAACTGTTAGTAATATTTCGGATTCTTTTTATACATAACGGCTTGCTCTCAGTTCTAAATATGTTGCGCTAACTTTCACTACCCAGGTGGCTACAAGGTCGGTAGTAACGGCTGAGATATATGCACTTTAATGTTAAACCTATATCCTGATTTTAAAAATTATTTTGTTTCCTATTCTATGGATTCATTATTTTAGAATCATATTTTCTGTACCTGAATTTTTTGCTGCCACTGATGCTACTACTATCATTGCTTCTACTACTTTAATATTCCGTTATGTTGATGTGATGTGGGAAATTAGACTGATGCACATTTTTGTCAGTTTCTGTGTTGATTACGTGCATGCGTTTGTGCTGGATCTAATTAAATACATCAACTTCAAACCATACAAACTTTAGGATCGTAATAAAAAGAATAAAAAGATCATACCACTCGATGGCTATCTGAAAAATAAGGTTCACAGTGTCATCTCATTGTCTCATCGAGTAGACTTTTCAATCAACGGGACATTGGTCCCATAAGGAAACCCCTTTTTTAAGCTTGAGCGTCTGTGAATTGTCGCATACCTAACTTTATATATCGTATTTCTTAATGTCAGATTGTTTTACATAAAGTAGTCTTACTATAACAAATTTTATTCTAGCCCTTTTACAGATTTGGTGGATTCCTCAAGCATAGGAAAGGTTGTTTACGATGGCAGTGAGTTGGCTGTTTTGAGCTCGTTGTTTGATAAAACTTCTAAGTATGGGCATGCAAAGTTAAAAATATTCATTCGGAATCTCAATTTACCCCCATCACATCCCATACGTAAAAGTCTTTGGTCACAGCTTTTATCCACCAAATATTCCATTAATTTACAGGTTAGTGCTCCAGTGTTCTCTTGTAAAGTTCATCTTCAAATATTTGTTTGTCTCCTAAATTCTCTCTTCACTTTACTTTATAATCGGTCGTTTTTAAAGGCTATTATAAATCATAAAGGAGGCCATAGTTTCACTTTTTTCTCGTAAATGGTTTAATATCCAATCTCCAACAGTGTTTTTACTTGGGAACCCGGTTTGTAATTATTATTTTTTCTGGGTGTATCTTACTTTTTTTGTCGTAACGTCATTTATACGTACACTGACTGAATTATAGTTTGTCTAGATTTTCGTGCCTCACTTTTGCAATGCGAACTTTATGCTTTCACCACACACTGACAATGATGCCCATGTATCGATAACCGAACACCTGCAAGTTCCATATTTCCTTTTTGAATGCTTAAATTTGATAGTTATAGGGAGGACTATTGCACGACATGATCATTTTGTAGATAGTTAAATACTTCACCAGTGTTACATGTAGTGTAAACGAGCAGATACAATTTAAACCAACTAGACTGCGTATTAAGTAAAATAATCTACTGACCTAACCATTTCATTAAATTTTCAAAATAGGTATAGGCACAAATCATTCCACTGCATAAGTCCACATAGAGTGGCTTGAATTGAATAACACAAGTTTTCTGAGACTCTCAAATATGGACATTACCATACAATTGTTCCTTCCACCACTGCAAATACTCGTCATTAGTCAACTTTGACTAATGCACATACGTTCCAATTCGATAATACTAGCCTGCTTTTACGAAACCACGAATCCTATCCCGTAGTATGACTATGGGAATCGTTTGTCACATCAATTTTCTGGTCATCATTTTTATCATATGAAAGTATTTATACAGCAATTGATCAAAACAACAGTTTGTATTATCACATGATATAACATAAACACTTGAAGTACGTTATCTAAATCTTTTAAAGGATGGTACACTTGTATTGCTTAACACTGTATGGTCATCATTATCATTACCTATTCTGGTAATTAATTTTCTGAATACTTGGATAGATACGAGCTTTTCTCACGGGATGTCAGACAAACCGACTGTTCATTTTCGACGTAATAACGACAATTAATGATAGTCAATTAGTCATAACCAACATGGAGCTTGTGACAAATATGTGCTATCCCAAGTTGCTTTACCACTTTGAAATGACAGAATAAAATCAACAAGATAAGTAGCATAATTGTGGACGATTTTGAACCATACCATCTAGTCTATAGCTACTGATCACGTTTATCACAAGGACCTTGACCATTTAGTCCAAATATGCTAGCATAGCTCAGATCCCCGACCGAAGCTGCTACCTTGACGCGGTGGTCGGGCTTGCCTATCATGATGACGCAGCCGAGCTATATTGGCTGGAACATATGTTCCTGTAGGTTCTACCATGCCAGGCAGGTCGATTGGAGAACGGTAAGACTAAAAGCAGCAACTCAAGATCTGAGGGCGAAGTCGTACTGCTGACTGTAGAGGGGTGTGACAGCAGTAAGGTGTTTCCCTCGGACAACCAGCATCTGCAGCGATGCTGCCTTCCCATAAGGAGGGGTGGAGTTAGAAAAGGTCGACCCTAAAAATGTCACACCTCATCTTACCTCACGGATTTCCGTCTCCGGCGGTAAGGCCCTTTGAAGAACGGAGCTAACACATTAAAAACCTTCCACGAAAAGGCTGTGCGCAACCGGCCTCAAGCAGTTGTCCGCTGGCCCCCTGAATGCCCTGGTACGGCCGAGAGTGGGGAGAGTCCGCTCTCCCTCTCGAAATACTCTCACACGGCCACGCGTATACAGCCTCTGCCAGGGAAGTCCTACTCATTGCCTTCTCGTGGCGGGGGTGTTGTTTACGAAAATGAGAGGACGAAAAGCGAATGTCCGGCGCTTTAACCGGATTCCAAATCAATGGTGCACATGGGCTCCAGTATCCTGCGGGAACAAATGGCGTATGAACCAATCGTTAGTCACCGGCTACCATGGGACTGCATCTCCTTACGATGCTCCACTGCCTTGTGGGTTAGACCTTTAGGTCAAAGGCTCGGGGAGTGGCCCCCTAAGATAACCACCTGCTTCGGTTTGGGCACCCGGGCAGTATCACAGCCCACACACAAATGATGAACTCTATGTCCATGGAAATTACTTTTGTCGCTCTGAAAAACAATCAATTGATTCAAATTATGATCACTACAATTATTGTCATTATTAATACTAATATTATTATTATTATTATTATTATTATTATTATTATTATTATTATTATTATTATTATTATTTTCCACATTATTCACCTTCTTTTATACTTATACAGCGGCTCGTCTTTGGTGGAATTCCGACTGTATCTAAACGTTCTCGAGTCACTGTCCGGTTGAAAATTGTATGTTACCACCGAATACGAGGACTGAAGCAGATTTTCTGAAACCACGTGCACCATTCAAACTGGCTGCCTTCAACGTTCGCACTGTCCGGTTGAAAATTGTATGTTACCACCGAATACGAGGACTGAAGCAGATTTTCTGAAACCACGTGCACCATTCAAACTGGCTGCCTTCAACGTTCGCACATTTATGCAGGTCGGACAACAGATAGGGCTGGCTATGTCTTTGGAAAGTCTTAATATCGACGTGTGTTGTCTATCCGAGACCCGTATTCAAGACTCTGGCGAAGTACTACAAATTCGATCTCCATCTGTCGCTTCGAAAAGCTTGTTTTACGTGCGCTTATCCGGGGACCCTGTGGCATCTTCGTCTGGTCTTGCTGGCGTTGGTGTCGCACTAAGCGCTAGAGCTGAGGCAGCACTAGTCGATTGGATCCCCATTAACAGTCGGTTATGTGCTGTTAGATTAGAAAGTTCCATCAAAGTGAGAAGAAATCGGCGTGAGAAACGATGTCTTTTCGTCATCTCCGCCTATGCCCCGACAGATTGCAGCCCGGATGCAATCAAGGATGAGTTTTACCACCAGTTATCAGTTCTTCTCCAGAAAGTGCGTTCGACAGATATTGTAGTACTAGCCGGAGACTTGAATGCTCAGGTCGGGCGTCTAGGCACAGAAGAGAGTCGTTTAGGTGGCCGATGGGGACTCGTTGGTCGCAGGCCAGATAACGGGGACCGTCTACTGCAACTTTGCACAGACCACAACCTGTTTCTGGCTAGCACTAACTTTCGGCACAGTCATCGCCGATGTGCCACCTGGCGTCCTCCCTCTGCATCTCAAGCCTGGACTCAGATTGATCACATCGCGATCAGCTACCGCTGGCGTGGTTGTGTACAAGACTGCCGCTCCTTTTGGAGTACCTATCTGGACTCTGACCATGCCTTGGTCTGCGCCAATCTTGCCTTACTTTTCAGTGGACAACGAAGTGAACGCCATCAACGGATTGATGTTAGCAAGCTGGTTGCAACTTCTGTTGCAAGTAAGTATCGAACCGAGCTAGCCTCTAGGCTAGCTACCACTCCACCGAAAAGTATAGATGAGCATTGGTTGCAATTGCATGACGCCATGAAAATGGCGGGAACAGTCAGTTGTGGGTTTGCGAAACGTCCCGCTTTTAAGCACTGGGTTTCTTCTGGTTCCTTACAACTCATTGAAGCCCGTCGGTCTACTCCGGGTAACCGTGAGTTTGACCATAAACGAAGGATTTTACGTAAGGAAATCGGGCAAAGCTTGCGTAAGGACCGAGAAGCCTGGTGGTCGAAGCGTGCTAATGAGCTGGAAGCAGCAGCTGCATCTCGTAATTACCGGAAGCTCTTCCAGCTCATCCGAGCCACTGGCAGCAAGAAGTCTGGTGTGAGTGAAACAATCTGCGAGGATGATGGGATGCCAATCACTAACATCCATCGACGTCTTGGACGATGGGCAGAATTTTTCGAAGGGCAGTTCAACTGGCCTGCTGCTCCGGCAACATCGGTCAGACTGTCCTGCCCTCCATGGCCGGTGACGACTGATCCACCAAATGAGGAGGAAGTCCGCAAGGAACTCCAACTCTTGAAGCGTTACAAATCACCTGGCCCAGATGACTTACCTCCGGCTCTTTTTAAAGATGGTGGTGACTTTTTGACTAAGGAATTGACGACGTTGTTTACAAAGGTTTGGGAACTAGAGAGTGTACCAACGTCATGGAATGAGTCGATAGTTGTCCCTATCTTTAAAAAGGGTTCACGTCGTTCTTGTAACAACTATCGGGGGATAAGTTTACTTCCGATTGCGTCCAAGCTATTGGCTTCCGTCATTCTTCGTAGGTTGTTCAAAACCCGAGAAAGATTGACTCGCGAGGAGCAGGCTGGGTTTCGTTCTGGTCGAGGATGTATTGATCATATCTTCACCCTCCGCCAAATGTTAGAACACCGCCATACTTTTCAAAGGCCAACAATCGTAGTGTTTCTTGACATCAGGGCTGCCTTCGATTCGTTGGATAGGACTGTTCTCTGGGATTGTCTATTGAAGAAGGGTGTGCCTGAGAAGTTTATTAACATCCTAAAAGCCCTGTATAAAAACACCTCAGGCAGAGTGAGGGCATACAACCACCTCTCTCCATTGTTCCATTCGAGCAGTGGGGTTAGGCAGGGTTGCCCAATCTCACCATTCCTCTTCAACTTTGCCATCGATGACATTCTGGAAACAGCTCTGATGAATGTAAGTAATGGTGGTGTGGATCTGTTGCCTGGAGAAAGACTTCTCGACCTTGAGTATGCGGACGATATTGTCTTACTGTGCGATAATGCCCAAGGCATGCAATCCGCACTTAATCAGTTGGCAATCAATGTCCGTAGGTATGGTATGTGCTTTGCACCTTCGAAGTGCAAAGTACTTCTACAAGACTGGCAGAATTCTAATCCTGTACTCACCCTGGACGGTGAGCAGATAGACGTAGTTGAGAAGTTCGTGTATCTGGGTAGCTGCATAAGTGCTGGTGGGGGTGTGAGTGATGAGATCAATGCACGAATAGTGAAAGCCAGAGCGGCTTATGCCAATCTGGGCCACCTTTGGCGCCTTCGTGATGTTAGTCTGGCTGTAAAAGGCCGGATCTACAACGCGTCGGTGAGAGCAGTTTTGCTCTATGCTTGTGAAACCTGGCCTCTCCGAGTTGAGGACGTTAGACGACTCTCTGTGTTCGATCATCGCTGTCTCCGAAGGATTGCTGACATTCAGTGGCAACACCATGTCAGTAATGCAGAGGTTCGGCATCGTGTGTTCGGGCACAGAGATGATAACTCAATTGGTGTCACCATCTTGAAACACCGACTTCGGTGGCTTGGACATGTTCTCCGAATGTCGTCCCAGAGAATTCCACGTCGTGCATTATTTGCCGACTCTGAGACTGGTTGGAAGAAGCGGAGAGGTGGTCAGTGCATGACATGGTGTCGTGGCATGAAAGAAAGCTGCAAAGGACTGGCTTGTGTTGGTCCTTCACGACTCCCTGGCTGGGGTCCGAGAGATGGTGCTACACAGTGGCTAGAGACGTTATCAGATATGGCTCAGAATAGAAGCCAGTGGCGATCCTGCTGTAACGTTCTTTTACTTTCTTCATAAAAAGTGGTTGTGTCTCCTTTACCTGAAAGATTTCTCCTGATTGTACCTCTTCGTCATTACTCTCTCTTTCTTTTGCGTTCCTTAGTTTTTTTTTTCTACTTCTCTTCGAATTCCCATTGTTTTGTGTGGCGCATATATATTGGCGCACTCTTGTACCAATATTTATGTGTTCAAATAAATAAATAAATAAATAGTTGTCCGCTGGGTTCTGCGGTCATGCTCCCAGGTCGTTAAGACCAACACTAGTCCAATTTCCTTTTCAGGTTCCTCAAGAAATACCCTTCCACAGTGTTGGCAGCCGGGAAGTGATATCAGCCCTCATACCCGTAACAGCACACGAGACCAAGTTGGTCACATTCAAATCCTTCCTACACCTCCTAATACCTCTCTTATCTCCATGACTAACCCTCCTCACGTCTCTTTATCACCTCGCACCGCTAGGTCAAACGATTCGAGTACGCGGAACGCTATTCCTGCTCTCCTGAAACCACACTCTAAACTATACGTAGGGGCTTTTAACGTTCGAACACTGCCAAATAGGACAGCAGGCTTCCTTAGCTAGGACTTTAGAATCCCGCGCCATCGATGTGTGCTGCGTTTCCGAAACGCGCATACAGGATCCAAGTAGCGTCATTCATCTGACCTCACCATGTCAAAATAAAGAACCGACTCGATTCACACTTCGTGTATCTGGAAGCCCTGATTCTGCTTCCCGTGGCCTCGCCGGCGTAGGTATAGTACTGAGTCCTAGGGCAGGACTAGCTCCCTTAGAGTGGATCCCAGTAGACAGTCGTTTGTGCGCTTTCCGACTTAACGGAACGGTAAGGGTCCGAAAAGATAGGGACACTCGTCGTTGCCTCTTCGTAGTCTCTGCCTATTCTCCCACTGACTGCAGCGCAGATGATGTAAAAGATGAGTTTTACAGAAAGCTCTCCGACCTTCTCCGAAAAGCTAGGCGCTCTGATGTAGTAATAGTGGCCGGTGACTTTAATGCTCAAGTAGGTAAACTAAGCGAAAGGGAAAGACACCTGGCTGGATCTTATAGCATCGTGGCTCAAAGAACAGATAATGGCGACCGTCTGTTGCAGCTATGCTCAGATAACCGCCTCTTTCTTGCAAATACTAACTTTAAGCATAAGGAAATACATCTTTTAACATGGAGACCCCCTAATTCGTCCCAACGTTGGACCCAAATAGATCACATCGCTATCAACCACAGCTGGAGGGGCTCGATAGAAGACTGTCGCTCATTCTGGAGCACATGCTTAGATTCAGATCATGCTCTAGTACGAGCGCGTATCTGTCTGCGTCTTACTGGACGTAGGAAAAACGCTGCAAGTAAACCTCTTAGGGCCCTACTTAATGATAGTCAAGCTAAGAGTATATTTCAGGAACAACTAGGAAAACAGTTAGGCAGCCATGTGTGTGATGCCTACCCCGAGGCAGCATGGAATGATATCCGAAAAGCTGTGGAAATAGCAATGATATCTGCTAGTACGATAACCCATAAAGTTAGGGAGCAACACAGGATCTCAGCAGCATCTATTGCACTGATAGATGCTCGGAAACTCATTCCACCTGACTCTGAACATAATGAAGAGCGGAGTCAGCTTAAGCGCAAGCTGACAAGAAGTCTACGCAATGATCGTGAACAGTGATGGGTAGCGAAAGCAAGAGAGGTGGAAAAGGCAGCGGGAATAGGTAATAGCAGACAATTGTTCAGACTTGAATCGACCACTGCATCTGTGTGCTAATGTGGTGTGGCAACTCGAACTGATGTACGTACGCACAAAGTTCTACGTTGTTACTGACTGACTGATAGCTCAGATCGACAGCCAATGTACACATGAACTGATGCCATATCATCGTTTGGCCGCTTCAAACTTTCTTCCAACATACTCCTACACCAGCAATCATTGCCTATCAAGGTAGGGGATGATTAGGCATACATAATATGTGTTCTATCCACCTCAGTCTATGAGCATTTACAATTTTATCAACTGACTTGCTATCTTTACTTGGTGTCCTGCGTCTAACTTGAACATTGCTCACTCCGTCGTTCCACGATACGTGACCAATTGGCAGTATTATTTAAGTGAATATAGTACTTCTAGTTTTTTTAACTTTCATGTTGTTGATTTTACTTAGATTTCCGATTCAGGCATCCATAGTAATGATATTGCAACAACCAGTGTTACAAACATTGATGGTTCATCATTATTGGCTGGTTACGAGTTTTCCAATCAAATGTTATTGCCAACTTTTTTCTTAAATACAATTGGTCAAAATTGTTTACGGACAATATTACATAATATTTTTATTGACCGCCCAGAACTTGTTTATGCTCCACAACTATGGCCGTTGACAGCATTATTTCTACACTATATGCCTATTACAGTTGTACGTAAATGTATACTCACTTTATTGGATCAACCTGGTATTTTAATTCAAACAAAATCTGATTGGAAAGAACATTGTTTATCATTAGAAGAGTTGGCCTATTTATGTAATCTTTTACGAAGAGATAGTCAGAAACGTACCATATTGATGACTTCCAAATCAAATGAGAAAAATGTTAGTGCCACCTGTAAAGAAGATGAAAGACGACTTCAGTTGGCCCGTTGGTGTTTATTACTGTGGAAGTTACCTTTCGAACATCTTGTTTGTTTAATTGATAGCTTTTTGTTAGAAGGACCGAAAGTGTTCTATCGTGCTGGTTTAGTTGTAAGTTTTTCATATCACTGATTTTATATTATCTGTAATCACTGTACAATACATCTGTCCAAAAGAGTATAATGCGTTTTCTGTTTTTAGATATGATAAAAGCTAGCTCGTTCATCCAGCGTTAACAACAGTTATTAAACACCTTATTATAGTCTACGGTTCACTAAAAGGTTCTTTCTTAAAATTATGTAGACACATTATTATGATTTGTTTCTCAAACTCACTTAGTGTTACATTCTTCTTCTTCGGCTTCCATCTACCTTAGTAACTAACCACTTCCTTAAAAGTTAAAAAAAATTGACTGTCGTTTTCCCCCTTATTCATATAAACTGCAGTTCAGTACATGAGGCTTTAGGTCTTCGTTAAGTTATATTTGTTAGTTTTAGACTCAAGTCTTATGTCAGTTAGGAATCATCAACAAGACACATGTACAGTATGAAATGAACTGATAATCGCTGTAAGACTTGAACCCACCGCACTCAGTTTCACGGTTTGAAACATCACCACTAAGACATTCTAACTGTAACTGACTTCCTGAAGAATTATCATATTTACGTTGATTAGTCACTTGATCATAATGTCATGCTTGTCTAATACTTACTATTCAAGTCCTGTGCTTTACAGTACACTGAAAACGAGTGGCAAATAATGTGTAGTCAAACAGATTTATTAAAAGTGCACACTATTGATTTGGAAAGCAATTTTTTACAAAGGTAATCTACTGTCGAAAACTTACCACTAAGTGTGAAATCGCAATTTATGAGCTGTGTCAACACTGTGGCAAAAATTAGAGTGAAAAAATTAGGGATAGAATTATTGAATTCGCTTGAATATCAAAAAACCAGAAATTAAGTTCCCTATTGACCGAAACAATTTTTCCAATGTGAACTTGAATATAATTTAATTAGAGGCTTTATCGCTTGCCAATAAATTCTGTGACTATGGATATAAAATTAATTAACTAAATACGGACCTGCAGTCTGAGAAATTATTTTCATAAACAACATATTTGGTCCCAACCTTATTCGAGGAACTTACTAGACTTCAGAACACGTTGGTTGACTGATAGCTGGCAATAATGCAAAAATGGTAAATAAATCTCCACATACCAAACAATATCAAGATGCTTTGCGTAAGCTTAGAAAAGATAACACTGATCATAAGCAAGCCAGGCAAAGTAGAAGGACTAGTTCTTATTTTAAAAAAGGCAGATAGCACCAATCAAAGAATTCATTTTCGAATTGTCCGACTATATTTCAAAAACTCAGAGGCGTTAACGTTATGAATGTAACATCAGAGAAACTACTGACTAATTCGCTTCAGAAATGTTGATTATGAAAGATGAACTTTCCTAATAAAAGTCATTAAGTTGTCATGTCAATGTTTCAGAGAGTGTGATGATGTTTTCCTCGCATAACTTTAATTGAAGTCAAATAATAAGCGGTTGTTTATTGGTAACCGACTTGTGCGGTAAGTAAAGTTTTGAAGGTTATAATACGATTTAGTTTTTCTACAAAGCAGGTTATTCGTTAATAAACCCATTATGGAAGTTCAGCACTAATCGCAATCTTAACCACTTTATAATCTTGATTTTTAAAATTACCTTAGTGTTGAATCGTTTCTAAAGAAATTATGTTCTTGTGCAAAGCACATTAATTGTGTTCCTTTTTTTGCAATCTATCGTTTAGATTCTTAAAGCCTCCTTAAGTGGAAAGTATTCAAAGATTAGCAGTGAAACCAATGGAATCGGGAGGAATGTTGGTGATTATTCTCATGGGTTTGTGTATGATGAAGAAATATTCAAACATATCCCATTGACACCATCAAAGCTAATGAGAAAAATGTTCTCACTGCGTGGTGTGAGTCGGACGAAAATTTCTCAGGCAATCAAAAGTGTTCAGTCTCTCCAAGGTAATTTTTGCTCACCTAACAATTTGTAAAATATTCATGATATTTTAAGTATATTTGCTTTTCAACACCAAGAGTTTTCTCCTTAAATAATGTCTTTACTATTAAACCGAACACTATGATTACACAGTAAAGTGAAGTTGTTCACATGATAACTGGAAACAATCAATGATCAATCTAGTCTTTATAAGTGTCCTTAAAACAGAAGATAAACATTATGATAGTGGTAGTTTATTGCTCAGTAAGTTGTAGGAATATCGAAAGTTATTTGTTTTCGTCTCTAATTTTGTAAATGCGAAACCATATTTTTTAAAAGTGGATTTATGGGGAACTAATAGTCCAACAGTGCGATAAACTGCCCATTAAAATTAATTAAACCAAATATTAATAAGAATTAAAAATGTACAGTAAAAAGTGTATTTGTGGTGATCGTATTTTCTCTCAACCTGTTATTGCATACTTCTCAGTTTTACCTCGAGATATCGATTGAAATATTCTTTTCATACACATAGTTCCCTTTATTATTTTAAAGAGAGCAAGAACAAAAATTGGTGCAGAATAATATGAATTCATTTTATTTCGTTAGGTTCTCATCAGCTGCTTACAACCTAAATTATTTGAAAATTCAACATTAATACAGATATTGACATATTTATATATAAGAGTGTGACTAAGGATCAATACATGTGTATGATGATGTAGCGAATATTCAGATAGAATTAATGAGCTCATAAAATGTTTGATTCGAATAAATAAATAAAGTTTGAGAGGGAAAGTTCTGGAACATTGAAATGGTGATTAGAACTCATGAAAACAGATTAATGGTAATAAAGAAAAATGAATTGAAATCAATCATTTATGTATGATGTGATTTAAACTTCAGAAAGAGTTGCAATAATGACGCAATAAGTAAATAAATAGGAGCAAATGAATAGAAAGGGTGGCGGTTATTGTTACCAGGGTAAAAAAAAGATTTATTACTGTCTCTTTTTGTATACATAGATCTGGTTTTAAACGTTTGATTGCTAACGCTTCAGCGAATTTCAAAAGGTTCGAGTTTGATTGTTTGTTAATCACCTTGAAGGACTTCAGTATATCAGCTTTATGTCCTGTATCAAGGAGATGTCTGGCGATAGCACTGTTGAATGCGTTCAATCCATTTAACCTTAAACTTTTCGGAATATGTTCTTTGAATCGGACGTAGGCTCTCCTTTCTGTTCTACCAATGTAACTGCTTTGGCAGGTACATGTAAATTTGTATACACAGTTGGTGGTAACATGAAAGGGATACCTATCGACCTTTGATTGTGTCAAAGAGCATGTTGTTTTGGACAGGACAATCAATTTCGCTGCAGGATAAGTTCTTGTCAGTGCAGTTTTTAGTCTCATATTGATTGATCCTGTGACATCGTCACCTTTGAATTGAAGTTTAATAAAAATAGGCTTTTTATTTGCTGTAATTTCTTTCGGCTTTTTAACTTCACATTTGCCGTATTTCTCAATAAATTTCAGTGGGTATCCGTTATTCTTTAAACATTTTTTAACATTCATAACTTCCTCTTCTAGTGTATCGGAAGTACATATTCTTTCTGTTCTGTAAAACAGTGTTTTGACCAGTGCCTTTTTGTAACTGATTGGACAAAAGCTATTGAAATTAAGATAACTACCATTCCATGTGTCTTTCTTATAAACTGAACGTTGAACTGTACCATCTTTTCTTCTTTTCATCGCGATATCGAGAAAATGGAACTTGTTTTCTTTTTCATGTTCCATAGTGAAATGGATATTCGGATGTGCTTCATTGAAAAACTCTAGCAGATTTATTGCATGTTGTTTATTATTACATACGATGAAGGTATCATCAACATATCTCGAATAATACGTCATTTCATCAATCGCTCGTTTGAGTTTGGTTCTTTCGAGGTTAGCCATGAAAATATCTGCTAGGATAGGACCTAACGGACTTCCCATCGCTACACCATCGATTTGTTTGTATATGATATCGTTGAACTGGAACTGAACATCTTTTGTACAAATGAGTAATAGTCGTTTGAATTCTGGTACTGGTAGAGGTAGGATGTCAGAATGTTGACAAATTATGTCTATGGTCTCAAGAAGTGGTATTTTTGTAAACAAAGGTGTTACATCAAAAGAAACCATAAACTTACCGGCAATATTTATGTGATTCATGCTGTCAGCAAATACAAATGAATCCTTTAGTGTATAGGTGGCTAATCGTTGACGCACTGGTTCTAACTTATCTGCCAACCATCGTGCAACTTTGTGGTATGGTGAATTGATCATTGACAAAATAGGTCTAAGAGGATAACCTTGTTTATGTATTTTCGGTAATCCATACATGTGGGGCAAACGAGACCCACGAGGTCGTAGATTATTGTAAGTAGAGTTATCGATCATTTTCTTTTTCAGAAGATCTCTGAGTACTTTGGTGATTCTTTTCTCAATGGAATCAGTTAAGTCTTTGTTACTTTTCTCTAACTTGAATCTCATATGGTCATTCAAGATGGACTTCATCTTAAAAACATAATCTGTTTTGTTCATTAGAACAACACTTGAGCCTTTGTCTGACCGTAATATCATTATATCGTCATTTCGTTTAATATTTCGTAATGCTGTTTGGTGGTCTTTGGATAAAAGCTTAGACTGTGGTGCGGGTGAAACAAGATATTGGTTTGCAATATCGACTAGTTTAGATTTAAACCAGCCTTTCTTTTCTTCATTAACTGGGTGCAACTCTTTAATTTGATCAAATAAATTCTCAAATTGAGTTTCTGTGTCGATTCTGTCGGCATGTGTTTTGGGGATATGAAATTTAAATCCAAGTGACAAGGCTTCTGTTTCTGTCTGATTTAACTTCATTGTTGATAGATTATAGAGAAACTTTTCGGGGTTTTCCGGAAAGCCAAAACATAATTGTTCCTTTGACAGAGTCTTTGACAAAGTTACGTGGAAATTCTTGCATATTTTGCTTTGCAGATCTTGTATAAAGTTGATAAATTTTATGCGACATACGATACTTAGATTGTCGATTAATTCATTAAAGGCATTAGTTTCTGCCCTCAAACGTTCAATCAGTAACTTTGTTGATTCAATGTGAGATTTTGTGATGCGTCGAAGATTTTTAAGAGAAGGCGGAAGTTTAAATGAGCGTAAAGACTTTAAGAACTGACGTGGGAAACGGCATGACTTCAGACATTCATCAAAAAACTTTAGTCGAGTTATTTCTCTCGATATTCTGCAGCGTATTGTCACCAGGCGATTCAGTGACTTGAATGACTGTGCAGGGAGACGCATTTTGAGAAATTTCATACACATAGTTCCCTTTATTATTTTAAAGAGAGCAAATAAAAAGCCTATTTTTATTAAACTTCAATTCAAAGGTGACGATGTCACAGGATCAATCAATATGAGACTAAAAACTGCACTGACAAGAACTTATCCTGCAGCGAAATTGATTGTCCTGTCCAAAACAACATGCTCTTTGACACAATCAAAGGTCGATAGGTATCCCTTTCATGTTACCACCAACTGTGTATACAAATTTACATGTACCTGCCAAAGCAGTTACATTGGTAGAACAGAAAGGAGAGCCTACGTCCGATTCAAAGAACATATTCCGAAAAGTTTAAGGTTAAATGGATTGAACGCATTCAACAGTGCTATCGCCAGACATCTCCTTGATACAGGACATAAAGCTGATATACTGAAGTCCTTCAAGGTGATTAACAAACAATCAAACTCGAACCTTTTGAAATTCGCTGAAGCGTTAGCAATCAAACGTTTAAAACCAGATCTATGTATACAAAAAGAGACAGTAATAAATCTTTTTTTTACCCTGGTAACAATAACCGCCACCCTTTCTATTCATTTGCTCCTATTTATTTACTTATTGCGTCATTATTGCAACTCTTTCTGAAGTTTAAATCACATCATACATAAATGATTGATTTCAATTCATTTTTCTTTATTACCATTAATCTGTTTTCATGAGTTCTAATCACCATTTCAATGTTCCAGAACTTTCCCTCTCAAACTTTATTTATTTATTCGAATCAAACATTTTATGAGCTCATTAATTCTATCTGAATATTCGCTACATCATCATACACATGTATTGATCCTTAGTCACACTCTTATATATAAATATGTCAATATCTGTATTAATGTTGAATTTTCAAATAATTTAGGTTGTAAGCAGCTGATGAGAACCTAACGAAATAAAATGAATTCATATTATTCTGCACCAATTTTTGTTCTTGCTCTCTTTGAAATATTCTTGTTGTACTTAGGAAGAATATTACTATATATTATCAACTGCACATTGAAACATTTTTCTTTAATGAGAGTAAATCGATTATTATTCTTAGCTCAACTAATTATATGTATAACTAAAGTCTTAATTCAATTACTTTTAACTTTCTTTTCTTTAATGAAAGTGAATTTTGATGTTGACAAACAGCTAATTCAACCATGTAATAAAAGCGGAAAGAATACATTCGCTGCTTACTTACTTGGTGGTGATGCTGAAAAACAAATTCATCCGTCTGAATGTGTATCGAGTAATGAATTAGCTTCAATTATCACATCGATTGATGATCGCAAATATTCCTGTTTATTCAAACCGTATCGAGTATTTTCATCTAATGTAGATGGTAATAGCCTGCGTACATTTTATGCTAAGGCAGCAGAGACAGAAAATCCTGCAACAATTCTATTGGTACGTAGTTTGTCAAGGAATAGTATTATTGGAGCTTTTTGTTCAGATAGATGGCAACCTCGTGTTGAATCTGTTTACTATGGAAATGGTTTATGCTTTCTATTTCGCATTAAACCTGGTCCATTTGTTATATATAGGTGGATCGGATCAAGTTCTGATGATGAAAAGATTATACATTCCATACAACACCAACGTTTTCAACGAGCTTCAAATAATGGTATAGAAATTGGTGGCAGTATAAGTAAGGGACCTCCAGGTTTAAGCTTGGATAGTTGTCTCACAACGGCTTCAAGTGGTCCAACTCTAACTTTTTCTAATCCTTGCTTGATTACTGATCCAGCTGATTTAACACAAACAGTTCTGTGTGAAAATGGACAAATTGGTTGTATGTTCACTGTTGGATTGGTCGAACTAATTGGTTTTCATGATCTCTAAACCGTTTGAAATTGCATAAATTATTGGATTTATCTTCAAATCATCTTATGATATTTTTTTAAAATAAAATTTTTCTTGATCTGTTTATTTATTACATCATTAGCCTGTTTTATATATGCGTGTATGAGAGAGATATTTATAATTCTTTTTTTTGTTTTTCCTATTTGTTTATTATCGGTCTTTGTATAACATATATTTATGTAGTTGTAGACAAATACATTTGGGCAACTAACTACCTATTTAACTATGATCTGTGTTAAATGAAAACATTCCTATGCGAAAAATACACAACACAAATGATAATGATTATGTATATTCATTTCTTTAATTTTCTATCACTACTTCTGCTACTACTATTACTATTACTACCGCTAATATTCTCATTAAAACCTAAATGATGTGCAATTTATTGTCTTTTTATTGTCAATCCTGTGCAAAACTCATTTATTTTATTATTTGTTTGTTTTTCTCTAGTCATATTCTCTTGCTCAATCATACCAATACTTATTTACTTGTTAATATTTATTCAAACTAAGAAAAATAACTGATTTATTTACTACTTAATAGAAATTTATTTTATTTGGAGTTTTGCAAACTTCTGTTTCTCAGTCATTAAAAATGAATAAATATATATATGTTTATTTTTAATACATCTTTTCATATTCTTTAGTTGCTTTAATTAACGAATGAATGGCTGTTTTGGTATGTAGCTTTATAATTAACTCATGATCATATTTCAGTTATTGTTGTAAAATTGCTTATATCATATGGTCATATTTTCTTGCGGGTTCATCTGGATTTCTATTTATATAGAATAGATAGGCTGTGGTTAGCACTGGAATTCAGGGTGCGCATCCCGTTCTATTTCGGACTTATCGGCTGGTTATACTTGCACCCCAATGTTGAAATTCATGTGGGGACTCGGACCTTGTACCTTACTCTTTAAACGCACTGAGAGACAATCAGCACTGTATTCACACATATCAACAAAGACTGGTTAAAATCCAGTCAACAATATCAACAGCGGGATAAACCAAGCCTTTTCTAATAATAAAAATATCATACCCGTCGAACAAGATAGAAGCCAACCAGATTCAGTAGCCCAGCGGATAACGGGTTAGAAGTTTAAAACAGTAGGTATTGGGTTTGAGTCATGGTTTGAACATCACTGAGATACAGGGACATCCGGTTGAAGAGTCCCAAGTAGGGCGATACGTGGATCTTAGGTTCTGCCGCTAGCTACACTTCATCTATTTTGCATAAAGTTCGCGACATTTTGGCTATACACAGGATGCGTATATGTCAACAAAGACTGATCAAAATTCAGTCAGGAATATCGACAACGGGATAATGCTGCTTAAAATCGATAAAAACAATGGTTTCAAAATGGAAATCTACTGTGAACTTGAAATCATAAAAGCTAACACACAACGACTCTTCAGAGTTGGAAATTCGCGCACTGATATGTGATAGAGAAGACAGGACTTCAAGGAAAGGGGCCATATTCCGGACAGAATTTAGAAATTGAGATTAAGAACTGTCTTTGTAGTCACTCAATAGCCTTGGGCCACAACAAAATGAGCAAACCAAAAATGACAACAGTCAGTCATAACAAAAAAGTTATTACGGAAACATGAATTAGAAAATTCCCATCGACGTTATTCATCAATTGAAGAAGGAAATAACATGTAATAAAAAAAAAACTAGATAACTTGAACTGTTCTCGGCAAATTCAAACTATCTAATAGTAATATAGATTCCTGACTAGTTTATAAGTAATTCCTATCTACGATTATATACATCTGAATAATGTTGAAAGAGTGAGCGAGAAATAAAACAATGAGCAATCAATTGAGTGCGTTTTAGGTTGCGATTTGTTTGGCAGTTGGTTTTGGAAAAGAATCAGTGCTGACTCACCAGATATTTTGTTGAAACCGGGACTTGGATATTAGATAACTATTGGTGAATGTTATAAACTAATTAGTATTTTTGAGAAAAGGTAGAAAAAGTTTATTGGAAACCTGCTGGTTAACTATTTAATTTATAATTTCACAGCACTGATGGCAATTCAATTTAGGACCAGAAACGAGGAGTTTGTTAAGCGTATGGTTTTAACTGTTTTGTCTTTTATGTACATCCGGATGATCAATTAGTAAGTAAACGTTGTGGCATGTAAAGTATCTCTGTACGATGTTCTAGAAGAATTTTGACCTAAATCTTCGAGACATGGTTTAAGCATTAAAAAATCGGGGGTTATTTGTGCAACGTATAACCAGAAAGGTGTCTATTTTATCATATATCTTACGTGCATAGAACATAATAGAACAATTTATGTCTATGTAAGTGAAAAAAATTGTAACACTATTCATACTACCATTATCACCACAAGCCGACACTAGTTCCAATAATTCAAGTACTGTGAAAAGTTGTGCCAAACTTACAAATTAGTTCTAAATATTAGAAAAACAGAATCATCAGTCTATGCTGAAAATATCACTGAACAGAGACTGGGGACGAGTCTCTTAAGTGGAATTCGCTCAGGTGTTTGGATCGAGTATCGACGAAGACCTGGAATAAGCTTGCCATTCTCAGCTTGAAATATGTCATTTATTTGTCCCCAAGGGAGCCGCACGTCGGCGTCTCAGATAAGTTCAGTGTTATATACTTGGTGTATTTTATCTATTATATGCTTTGTCAATAGACAATGACATTTACTAAACGAAACGAAGGCAGTTAATATTTCACACAAAAGTGTTCAATAACTGTTTTTAGATGTAAACTAATGAAGTTGTGATGGGTTTGGCACTAAGAGTTTTCATAGCGAGTGTCTCTTTGGGCTGTTCCGTGAAGATAATTGAATTCACCAACCAATGTGATATTTTATGGTACGCACCACTATCAGGTTAAATATTTTTGTTCTGAAAGATCATAGTTTGAAAATTTTCGCTAAACTCAGGAATATCATTTTGGACATTAAATTAACTTCAGAAGCGGTTTTGTGGATATTATAGTAATTTTAATAGTTGAAATCATGAGTCGATTGAAGCTAGACCACCATGGAAAACCTGGATGGCCGTTTCGTTTTACTGTGGGAGTTCAACCGGGTCTGTTGTGAGACAGTAACTCACTGAAGACGATGGTGGATGTGTCGCTCACTTTGGTGGATTAGTTGAAGTTAGACATTAACACCGTTGGATGCCGACCGGCTCAGTGGTCTAGAGGCTAAGCGCTCGCGCGCGAGACTGATAGGTCCTGGGTTCGAATCTCGCGAGGCGAGGTCGTGGATGTGCATTGCTGAGGAGTCCCACAATAGGACGAAATGGCCGTCCAGTGCTTCTTGGTTTTCCATGGTGGTCTAGCTTCAACTGGCTCATGATCTCAACTATAAAAATTAAATTAACTGTCGACTAAGAACAAGATGACAAGTTTTCAACTTGAATGAAATTAAGTTAGCAATATTATTTCGAAATCTGTCTTTTAATTAAATAAGTGGACTTATCAGGACCCGAGCTATAATAGCTTTTATCGTTTAAACAATTGCACATATATTCCATGACTGTTGAGCCTTAGAAAATGTTAATGAAAATCTAGACAACATAGTTATCGGAAAAGATACTGAAGGCTATTAAGAGTTGATCTTTCATGCAGTGAAATGTTTTATGGAACAATTTTTTTATTTTGAAAATTCTGTAAATTTATCAAATAAAATTCATTCAAGGATTGGGTATCAAGTGAACTGATCGAAGTTAAGAATAATAATTCGTCCTTGGTATTGATATATCACTTCCAATAAGGGTCTATCAATGTGGTTGAGAGATTCAGAAGTTATAAGTGAGAGACAACATTAACTAAACACTGAATTTTCTAGTGGGTTTCTGAAACTAGAAATGTAACTTTAAAGTGTTTTTTAAATTCATGTTGAGAGGATAGCATAGAAAATATAACTTTTTGAAACTTAAAATGATTTTGGTTGGTTGGACAGACTAACAATCCTTGGGACATCATTACAAGTGACTGTAGAACTGATAAAAATTTGATTAAAGAATTTCAAGCTGAACGAACGTTTGTACAAAATTCGGTTTCATAAACGCTTATCGATGATTATAGGAGGAATATGACCATAGGTTGTATGATGTATAAGTAAACTATGGCCTCTTACCGTATAATGATAATAAGATGACTCAAGTGACTGGTAGCTATTATAAATAACAACATATTCATCAAACACTGATTTAATTATGTTTTCACATACAACAATATAATAGCATTTATCTAACAAACAACCTATGGTTCAAAGTAGTTCACTGACTTCATTGCAGCATCCTAAGATGAGAGTTCGGTAGAACTGTATTCTATGGACGAGTCAAGCAGATCCAAGATGAGGGATCTTTGAGTTTTACATGAATATAGTTGGAATACTATTTCTAACTGGTTAAAAAATAATTAGTATACATTCTACTGAGTGAATTACTGGAAAAATTAGAAAGTCAAGTACCGTTTGCTAAGTTTGAAATACCTTAGAAGAAATTGCAGATAAAAATTTACGACTCGAGTTACTTATTTGCAATACATAGATCCCAGTTCAATAGTCTAGAGATTAAGCATTTGCACGTGAGACCTAAAATACTGGGCTGGATTCCCAGTCGTGGGGTTATGAATGTGCACTGTTGAGGAGTCCCATGCCAGAACAAAACTGCCGTTCAGCGCTTCTAGTGGTTGTTAATTTAGATCGGTTCGTGATTTTAGTAAAATTCAGCAGTCTCCACAACCCTATGCTGATTAAAAAAATAATTCTTACTAGGTCGGCGAACCATTGGTGGATAAAGACAATCTCTAGAACAATCTACTAAACATACAATTATCAATATTCGCTAGCCATAGCTAATCACATGCAGTAACTGAGCTAGAATGTGAACGGTCTATTAATTATGAGTTAGAAATGCACACTTTATATCTAATTAATTAATTTATTAACTATATTCATATGTCAGACATGATAACCGTTACAAGCCATTAAGAACTTCAAAACTTGTTAAAGATAATGAGGAAGAATAAAACTTTTGTTACAATAAGCAGAGGTCATGGAAGTCGAAATCACAAAAACAGATCGTGCTATAACAGCAGTTTTGGATGATAAAACAATCAATTTCACCATGAAAATCGGCTTTTCGAGAAGGAGACAGGAATTAGAAAGAAAAGCCACTACACAGAATCATTCATCGTGAAAACAGAGTAGGGAGACAGTTATCTACAAGCGTACTTCACATCATTATTAGTGCCAATTTCTTTAGGTAAACTATCATTTTTACTCAAATAGCACATATTCCAGTGGAACTGTTTATCTGTAATTTTTTCCATACTAACTTGTTGAACCATAGAGTAGGTTATACAAACAGTAGTTTTCACTTAATTCGTCTAAATATTAATTAATTATATTAATGACAGTACATATAAAATCTATGCCATCTCGTCACAATCATGTACCCATTATAGACGAATATATATACTTCGTAACTCGTGCTACTAGTAGTATTTTTGTCCATACGAATATTATACATTGAATCTCTAAGTTCTACCGCAGATCAATTATTCCTTTGGTTCTAACGGACGAATGTTTACTGAATAAATTCTGAAACAACACATCTTTTACATAAATTATATTTAATTTTAAATAATAATATTTAACTCAGCCTGTAGCTCTTCCAGAGTTACTGCCGGTCCCAGACCCGGGTAAAGGAGGAGGGTTGGCGTCCCCATCCCGTAGAAAACTAACTCGCTAAAAAACGCTTACCAGGAAAAATTATTCAAACCATTTAAACTCTGCCCTGAAAGTTAGGTCTTCATTTAGAAGAATTATGACGCTTAATGGTGAAAGCCGAGTTCCTTCGGAAGCCACGAGGCCGATGCCCTTCTAACAACCAGAACAAAAAATTTTTATAGGTACATGGAACGTCCGAACAATGTGGGAGACCGGGAAGACCAGTCAAATAGAAAGGGAAATGAGGAGATACAACTTGGCAGTACTGGGAATCAGAGAAACCCATGGGACCCAAGCTGGACAACAAAGGCTAAATACGGGAGAAATGCTACTATACTCCGGTCATGAAGAGGAAAATGCTTCACACACTCAGGGAGTCGCTCTAATGCTGTCCAAAGTAGCACGAAATGCACTTGTAGGATGGGAATCTCACAGATCCAGAATCATCAAAGCATCATTCAAAACAAAGAAGGAGGGGATCACAATGAATATTATCCAATGTTATGCACCCACCAATGGTAGCAATGAAGATGACAAAGATCATGTCTATGAGATGATGCAATCAGTCATAGCGAATTGCCCAAGAAAGGACCTCACCATCTTGATAAGAGACCTAAACGCCAAAATAGGGATATACAACACCGGATATGAAGATATCATGGGACGACATGGACTGGGAGAGAGAAACGAAAATGGAGAAAGATTTGCAAATCTGTATGCATTCAACAAATTGGTCATAGGAGGCACAATATTTCCACACAAGCGTATACACAAAGCTACATGGATCTCACCGGACCACACTACAGAGAACCAGATAGACCATATCTGCATCAATAAAAAATTCCGAAGGACAATGGAAGATGTGAGAACCAGGAGAGAAGCTGACATAGCTTCAGATCACCACCTAGTTGTGGCCAATTTAAAACTGAAGCTAAAGAACTGGACAAACAGCATTACAAAGGTTCAATACAGCCTTCCTTCGAGACACTAACAAAATCAACGAATTCAAGATAGCTCTCAACAACAGGTTCCAAGCCTTACAAGATCTACTGAAAGAAGAAGAAACTACTATGGAGGACAACTGGAAAGGCATCAAGGAAGCATTAACTTCAACGTGTCAAGAGTTTCTCGGTCTAAAGAAATACCATCATAAGGAATGGATCTCTACAGAAACACTGGACAAGATCAAAAAAAGGAAGAACAAGAAAGCAGCAATTAACAACAGCCGAACACGAGCAGAGAAAGTCCAAGCACAAGCTGAATACATAGAAGCAAACAAACAAGTGAAGAGGAGCATTAGAGCCGACAAGAAGAAATACGTGGAAGAACTAGCAACGACGGCAGAAAAAGCTGCTAGAGAAGGAAATATGAAACAGCTTTACGATACAACGAAGAAACTAGCAGGGAAATATAGTAAACCAGAGAGACCGGTCAAGGACAAAGAAGGCAGGCCAATCATTGAGGTTCAACAACAGCGGAACAGATGGGTAGAGTACTTCGAGGAACTCCTGAATAGGCCGGCTCCAACGAATCCACTGGACATCGAAGCAGCACACACAGATCTTCCTATATATGTCAATCCACCAACGACGGAAGAAGTCAGAATGGCCACCAGACAAATCAAAAACGGGAAAGCAGCAGGACCTGACAACATACCAGCTGAAGCACTGAAGTCAGACATCGAAGTAACTACAAACATGCTTTACCTTCCATTCAAAAAGATTTGGGAGGAGGAACAAGTGCCGATGGACTGGAAAGAAAGACACCTCATCAAGATTCCAAAGAAAGGAGATCTGAGCAAATGTGAAAACTACAGAGGCATTACACTACTGTCAATACCAGGGAAAGTCTTCAACAGAGTGTTGCTGAACCGGATGAAGGATGCAGTAGACGCCCAACTTCCAGATCAACAAGCTGGATTCCGTAAGGATCGGTCGTGCACAGACCAAATTGCAACACTACGGATCATCGTCGAACAATCAGTTGAGTGGAACTCATCACTATACATCAACTTCATTGATTATGAAAAGGCATTCGACAGTGTAGATAGGAGGACATTATGGAAACTTCTTCGACACTACAGAGTTCCTGAGAAGATTGTCAATATTATCCGAAACTCATACGACGGACTACAGTGCAAAGTCGTGCATGGAGGACAGCTGACAGATGCATTCCAAGTAAGTAAGCTGTCTACGCAAGATACTCAACATCCATTGGCCGGATACCATCAGCAATAGCCTTCTGTGGGAGAGAACAAACCAACTTCTAGCTGAAGAAGAAATTAGGAAAAGACGATGGAAATGGATAGGACATACATTACGCAAATCGTCAAACTGCATTACGAGACAAGCCCTAACTTGTAATCCTGAAGGAAGGTGGAACAGAGGAAGGCCAAAGAACACATTACGTCGGGAAATAAGAGCAGATATGGAAAGGATGAATAACAACTGGAAGGAGCTCGAAGGGATTGGCCAGGACAGGGTTGGATGGCGAGTGCTGGTGAGCGGCCTATGCTCCTTCACGGGCGTAAGCAAGTAATAATATTTCACTTTATATTCATTGTTTACGTCCAGCTGTGAATTATGGTTACTTTGATAACTTATAAATACGTAATTTAGTATACAGTAGAAAATAAACTATCTGCAAACATTTATCATACGTTTTGTAAGCCATAATGAGACAATTGACAATCTACAGAAACCAGGGTCTAAACAATAATCACAGTACAAGACAACAGGGACTGGACACATTTCAAACGCATGACATTCTCTACCTGAGGTTGTAAAAACAACGCAAGTAAGCGTTAAAGAAAAATCACTCGGACGCATCATTCTTGCTGAAGATTATCTGTTTTCGTGCAAAAAGTGCCAATCTAAAGTGAAACACGATGTTGTTAGGTTAAACGCTTTTTTGAATATGATGATTAGATTAACGATATACCCAGTGAACTAACTAGAATAATTATAAGATGATATCGTGATCCAGCTGTTCTCAAGAATTGTAACTGTTCATGAATATCGATTATTTTAATGATTTACAGGACTGCAAATGTGATGCAGCCATGTTAATTAAAATTTGTATTTCTTCGTGAAAACGTTTGAAGCAGACATTCTAAGAAATAGATCGTTTTCTTCTAAAATCTACTAAAGTTTGGTCATTTATAAGTAGTGCCGTTTTATAAAGTCGATTCTATTGTTACCAATTACTTTCTTAAATATATTTGATATGAGAAAGTTATATTTTGAGTTTTTGATCAAATGAGTGAGAATGATTTAGGTGAATTCTCTGTCATTAATCGTTCTCATTAGGTAGATCATTAATTATATGAATTTAAATGTATAAGACAATTTAGCAGAAATCAAAAATATGTGAAGCGAGTTAATGCTTTAGTGTACACTAAAATATTCTTATTGTTGAACGTTGTTACACTTCAGATTATTATAGATACCAAATGAAAATATTTGGCAAGGAGTATATTAATTACAAATCTTTATTTATGTAAGATTTGGTAAACAATACACCAGTATGAAATCAAAGGAATTGAGTACATAAAATCAAATGCAAGAGGCCTACAACAAGAGTATAAGACAGAGACATTTACAAATCATTGTTATTTAAGCAGTGACCTTCTTTTTCTTTGCGTTTCCGGAAATTTCTGCAGTTGAATCCGAGTTAATCCCACCAGCTGCAGTTGACTTCCGCTTTTGGTTGGATACTGTGGATGTGTTAGATGGTCCGGAATTTGCAGGAGTGAGTGGTAAATTATTCGCGCCTGCTCCACTACGCTGTTTTGTTCGGTCTTCTAAGTCACATATTTCTCTCTCAATCAAAGTAATAAGAGTACTGCAACGTCTTTGTAGTTCCTGAAATAGAAAAGTGAATAGCTGACTTGAACAAGTAAGAAAATAGCGACTGCAATACTAATGTAAAACTATCTTGAAAGGCCTATTTATAGCAAGTTTCCTGTATACGAAGTGAAAAGTCGATAGATAAATTTAAAACTCCACCAAGCATAAACAATCACCGGCGATTACTTGACACTACTCACCATTGCTGTGCGAGATCGCAAAAACCAATCAAATCGAAACTGTGGGGCCAAGCGAACTGCAAGACGTAAGTCATCATATACATTGTCACGATCGAAACCAAGTTTATGAAGCATGCAGATTAAGAAACGATCTTCCTCCTCAACATAGTTCTTCCCTTTATTTGTTCCATATTGTATCCGAAGTTGGTGAAACGGCGCTCGATATCGGGCCATCTTTAGATCAAGAGCACGTTTTACAGCAGCTCTTCTTTGGATTTTCGCCTCACCACGCTCAATCTGATGAGCAAACAGAAAAGTGAGATAAGAATACTCTTAACAAACTTCACGATGAAGGCATATATACGTTAGATTAACAGGATAAAGTTTCAGAATAGGAAATGAATTACTGCTTTATTGTGATAACATGTGGAATTGAAAAATAGGACTTAATTGATTGGCACCTGAAAATTCATGTGGTAATAGACCCTATATATATCAATGGAGGTGTAAACAATCACGTCTGACGATATGTGGTTTTAGCAAACACAACATTTAAACTTAGCTTTTATTAATACGGAAGTGTCCGGGTGAAATTATTATGATTGATTACCTTCCAATAACCGTATTTATGTAGTCACTAATCGTAATATATAGACATTCACGCCAGACAATGTCTTTCAAATCATCAACAGGAATTAGTATCGATATAAATTGACAATTACCTGAGCCATATGCTTGTCGACATCTTGCAACTCGTTACATCTTGTCCAAAAAACACGGGCATACCGTTTAACCTCATCTGGAGTTTTACCTTCTACATCTACTGAAATTGCTTCTAAATCATCACGACCGTGTTTTTCGTTGGCTTTGATGAACTGTTGAAAATCACGTTTCGACCAGTTTGTGAAACCCTAAAAAGACAAACATACGATTATTTATTTGGAAGAGATCATAGCTAAATAATAAGGATTTGAGAAAGCCAAATAGTAATGAGCAATATTATATCATTTATTCATTTACTTGTGTTAAAAGCTCTTCCTTCTCGGCAAGTTCCTCCTCAGTTAATGGTTCAGCTTCATCTATTCTAGCTTGTTCATCCAGACGATCACGCTCACCATCTGGCCCAGCATCTGGGTTACGAGGAACCTTATAACCAATACTCTTTCTACAACCAAACAAGAAATAAAGAACAGTGATACCCCAACAAATTTATACTGAATTGTCTAAGCATAATTAATATAAAGTAATTTTCTTTTTCACATACCTTTTTGATTCAATCAATTAGTTTTAAAAAGCCATTCCTTAGTTGTTTTTATGAATCCAGTAGTTTGGTCATTCCAATAGCTGATATTCGACGTTTAAAACTGTTAACCCTACACTACATTGGAAATGTGAATTAGTCAACATTTTTACACACTTAACGAACAGTCAGATCATATAAACGAGCTCAATTATATTTCAACATTAGCTAATTTACTGACTTAATAGACTGATGCCACGTTTTAGTTTTTCCTAACATGTTTCTACTCAAGGTAACATGGCACGTCGAGGTAAGAGCTTGTTAGATAGATAGATAGATTTAAAAACCACTTTAATCGCTGACGATTCTTAATTTTATTAACCTGTTTAATATATTTGACTAGTACTCTACATCTAACCTCAACACTGATCACTTTCAGTGGTTCCGATGTGCGCTAAGAACGCATCTATAATCAAATACTAGTAACTCTACACTTAAAGATCACGTAATATGGTCATCCAGTAGAACAGAAAACTACTGCGGAATATACTCCTCTCTTCGTCAAGATACGGATATCCGTGTGACGCAAATTGATAAAAGTCAAGTGAACTTTCGGAATTTGGGTTGAGATTTCGTTAGACATCAACCTAGCAGGGTTGATAAGACTTTCAAGGTGAATAAAACAGTCGACGTGCTTAATTACTTCACTCCCTATGGTCAATCTAGACGGTGACATAAACTAGTCCTTAAGAAACACTTCTCATTAGGAGGATAAACACATCTCGGACATGCATGGATTGTTGATCGAGGTTATCAGAAGACAATTTTGTCGGCGTCCTCATCAAACAGTATTCTAGGCCCGTAAGCGAATCTCTCGGTAGGAGATAAATAAGATTGTCCTCATTTTTTGATACCCACACCCTCTGCCGCGATTAGTATCTGAGGATTTATTAATTTTGCAAATGTTTCTGAAATTAACCACAAGATCTTTGGCGACATAAACAACCATGTCTATGCACAACTATTGGTAAAAAAATTTAGATGTATATAAAATGATGCATAATAATCTTTCGAAACTACACACTATTCCTTCTGTTTGTATTTACACTTTTATTCAAGTTTTTGTAATTTCGGTTCAAAAATAGAGAAAAACAAGGTTTTGATTAATTATTAAACCTAAGAAAACTAGACCAACCTGAATGCATATATTTCTTTATCTAAAAGCTCAAAAAGTCTAGGGGGGAAAAACTGGAAATCTTGCACATTTGGTTGCTTTGGTGGTCGAGGTGGTTTCGGTGCTTTAGGTTCAGAGACACGAAGCGCTTCCCGAAAGTATGCGTCAACCGCATAATTTGCTTTGCGTTCGCGTTTCGGAGGTTCTATCCAACCCTATTAGAAATAGAATATTTATTAAATTAAAATATACAAACCACAAATGGTGAACAGTAATGATTTACAAATGCACATCATCAGTAAATATAAACGACTCGAATGACAGTTACAAAGAGAAAACAGTAAAAATAAATTTCTCTGAATTCATCTAAACTATACCATTAAAATCGCATACATCTAATAAGGAAGTGCGACATTGTTTTTCTCGATAATCTTCCCCCTCGAATATATATGCTGATGTTGGTGCACCATTTTCATCTGCCGTATCGAATTTTAAAGACCTTAAATTAGATTCTCCCAATTGAGCCAGTTTTTCATTCATTTCAGCAGTCTTTTGTTCACCTCGAGCTAAGATAATATCAATATCCTCGTCTTTGAAATCACTATCTTTGCTACGGAAAATGTAATTGGCACCATGTCTGATCATATCTAAAACATCACCCTTTTGAAGTTGGTTTGATTTTTGCTCAACAAGACGACCTGGGAATACAGAAGAACAGGAAAACGGGTTTGAAGAAGTATTTCACACGATAGTTTGTGAACACCAAACTATGATAAGCAAAATTAAAAATTAGATTTCCGTTAACAAATAGGGTGCTGTAACGTATAATTTTAAAAGGATTGGTGTTTATGTATATTCTAGTTGACAATTCTGACCTTCGATAGAGAAAAGAGTTTGAAGTAAGATTAACAAAATCGTATTGGAGTTGTGGTTTAATGATTTGGGTCACCGATTGTTATATGGTGAATTTCTCAATTTAAATCCAAGTCGATTACTGTTGATGCTGTAAGATAATAATACTAACCAAACTGTGCTTTTGTAGAACAACGGATCAGTGAATAAACCTGCAATTGGCTACCAAATTGTTAAGACTGTAGGTTAAAAACGTGAAAAATGTTGAGAATATCCGTTTATAAACAAAAGAATATATGACTGACGGTGGTGCTTAGCTTCTTTCTAGTCTTTCAAACCACAAAAGATAGATATGGATTATTATTTTCGAAGTCATACTCAGAGCTTATAATTATATCCGTCTGCGATTCAAAAACGAAATTAGACATTAGTTGCCACATTTTGCAAGCTTCATCTTGATTGTCAAGTAATATCGATCTCGTCAAATTGACGGGATGATGAAGATCGTAAGTTACTGAATTTAAAATTTACCTGATAAATACGAATAAACTAGTCATTATTGGCAAGAAATGGTTAGGTTCATGATTAAAAGTTACGGCTTTTGATACGCAACGTACTTCTAAGATCATGGATATTCATATGTACATCGAGAACCTAACACGCATAGATCAACAGATCCCCTAACAATGACAGATGTTTAAGTCAGAAAAGAATCATTTGATCACTACTAATTAGGGTCCATATTGTGAGAAGAAAGAATTAACCTGACCTACAAAGTTTCACTGAAGTAGTACTCAGTATTCAATTAATACTGACATTTCAAATACGAATGTACTGAACAGATCTTATATTTTAAAGGAACGTAACAAACAAACCTATTAAAATCCGTAAGTGTACCTACATGAATCAGTAGTCGGCTATTTTGTTCAAGACCATCTGTATTATTTCTTAGTGCTAAATAGTGGTGTCATTATACACAAAATTGCTTAGGCATTTTGAACTACCAACTGTCATTATTTTAAATCTGCTAGGTATACTTTATTTTGAAATAGTCAGGTAAATTTCGGATTCGAAAATGTATGGACCGTGATCTGGGACACCGGCTTATGTAGGATTTATACCGCCTACAGGTCTCACAGCGATTAGGTACGAGACTGCGGTAAGCATTAGATATGATAATTTCAGCACGATACATAATTGATTGGAATTTCAGTAACTATTGTAAGTGACTGTAACATAATCTGGAGTAACAGTAAGTCCATCTTTAATGGTACATAGTCATACAGTTTAAAACGGTTGGTTACATATTTATAGATCACCTTGTTGAATAACCAAGTTATCCAATTTGAGCTTCATCTCAGCACGCATAATAATACGTTCCTCAACTGTATGTTCTGTAATTAGTCGAAAAACGCGTACAGTTTTGGTTTGTCCGATACGATGTGCTCTATCCATGGCCTGAAGGTCAACTTGAGGATTCCAGTCTGAGTCATAGATGATAACTACGTCGGCTGTGGCCAAATTGATACCCAAACCACCAGCCCTTGTAGAAAGCATGAAAAGAAACTTGGTGGAACCTGGACGATTGTATTCATCAATTGAAATCTAAATTATAATTAGAGGTGACAAAATATGCAAAAAGAAATAGAGTATTAAATGCAGGTTTTCATAGTTATACACATACGGGGTCAAAACTATGGGGATCGGAATGTAAACGATAGTCTCGAAATAAGGATGAAATGTTCGAGACTTCAAAGATAATGAGTCCTCACAGACTTATTTCAAGAGTACTTAATAATAACAAGACCATATCTTAGTAATAAGATTGATCCTTTCCTTATAATGGCTAGTAAAACTGTCTTGTGACATTTGTTATTGGATCCAAATATCGAAAGTAATCAAGAGCATCCAGACAGTGGCATAGTTGATAACATCGATGGATACACATATATGAACCGAACTTAAGGAACAGGAAGAATCTATCATTTTGTTACCTGACTGGTAGTGAAAAACCACAGTAAAAATGTTTTACTAGGCTGAAAAGCCACCAAGGACATGTAAACTATGGCGTAAGTGGTTCCTGTCAAGGACGTTAGCAGCACACTTTAAGTTAAACACATTAACATGAAAAACAGGTCAACACAAAATGTGAAAATACTCGACGATTCGGGTGAGATGGAGAAATGGTCAATACATTTACAGTCTGAACGAAAACCAGCCAGATTTTAGGGATTCAGCAGTGAAAATGTATCCTAAAGTAGAAATTGAGTTAGAAAGCACAAAGTACGATATAACGGTGAAACCTTAGAGTTGTATGAAGATGGAAAATGAATATCTTTGCCATGCTAACCAATGGCCCTAAACAGTGGTTATAATAACCAGGTGGGGTCGAAATAGGGATTCTACACCTACCAACACTACTATGACCAAAAGTCTGTGGCTTCATGAAACGATACTCCGTCCAATTCTGTCCCCTCGGATTTCCTTCGATGTGCTCCTATGTCATGCAGCACTGTACGCCAAGGTAAGCAGTGGCTAAGTATGAGAAACAAATGTCTCAGCCAACCCTCAACATTAGTTATCTCGTGATTCTACTATGTGCGAATGAAGCTTAAGAGACATTTACGAACGAATATTAGTACCTTTCGTATATATTTTATCCTTAGAGGTTGTTTCCTAACCATAAATTAAATCTTAGATATCTAAAAACCATGATATTTATTTTACAAGCTGACGATAAAAAAATTTCTTACTGTTAGTGAGGTGAAATACTGACCTGGCGTTCTTCATGAGGTGTGGATCCGTCTAGTCTAAAGTACTCATGGCCGCGCCACAAACAATAGTCTTCAAGAATGTCCATCATTCGCGTCATTTGACAAAATAAAAGGACTCGTGATCCTTGTTCTTTAAGTTTCGGCAACAGTTTATCCAGTAACATCAGCTTTCCACAATTATCAACAAGATGACGATCCGTTGTATACGGAGGGCCTGGTTCTAGCCCATCGAATAAATAAGGATGGTTACAGCATTTACGAAGTTGCATGAGAATATTTAGTAGGCGAAGACGATCCACTTTATTCCCTACAGAGTTCACCACATCAATATCTTTCATTAAAATCTTGGTGTACAAATCACGTTGCATTTTACTAAGACCAATATAAATCTTGCACTCCTTTTTTGGTGGTAAACGTTTCTCCACATCAGCTTTAATTCGTCTTAACAAAAATGGTTTTAAAACTGCATGTAGACGTTGAACTAAACTCTCTTCTTGATCATTACCCGTTTTGAACATATCATCAAACATTTCAGATGAAGAAAACAAATCCGGCATTAGGAAATTTAATAAAGCCCATAATTCATGTAAATTATTTTGCAAAGGTGTACCGGTAATCAAGAGACGGTTTTGAGAGCGAAAATCCCGGACAATTTCTGACAATTTCGACTTTTCATTTTTAATTCGGTGGGCTTCATCTATTATTAAATATATAAAGTGAAATTTTTTCAGAACCGCCTTCTCTTTAATACACATTTCGTAACTTGTGACAATAACATCCCATTCCTTTTTCAAGATCTCCTCTTGTATTTTTTGACTCTAGAAACAAGAAAAACAAGTAACCCAGAAATAGTGGTATTTACCCTTTCTTCATGGTTTCCAATTAATGAAACTGTGCGCAAAGAAGGAACCCAACGAGCAAATTCATTCATCCAGTTGGAAAGCGTAGATTTAGGCACAATTACCATATGTGGCCCATGTTTGTGTCGACAGTGTTTTATATAACCAAGTAATGATATTGTTTGTAAAGTTTTCCCTAATCCCATCTCATCGGCTAGAATTCCATTTATACTACTATGATGGAGCTGAATCATCCAATTTAGACCACGGATTTGATAATCACGCATCTCTCCTCCCTTTACATCTAAAATGTAGAAAATATGGGTAATAAATTATTACTTACACCACGGAGAAGCTTCAAAACGCTGAATACCAGATGAACTATGCTTAGTTTCGGTCAATAGTTCTTCATCTTCTTCTTTTTCAGTACGACGATGTCGATGGCTGAATAAACAATACTTCGGATAATAAGAGTACAACTTACTCTCCAAATGAGTGGGAAGTAGGAGAACTAATGGGCTGCTCTTGCTTAATTCTTGAGGGACTAGACAAATCTTTTGTTCCAGAACCAATAAGTTTCACCTGAGCATAGAGCTCCGCCTTTTCGACCAACAAATCAAGCTGCCGAAGTGCTCCCTAAAAATGAAACAGAAACAGCTGGACGATTATTCATAAGTACAAAATGTGTATGAGGGGTGATGCGATTGCAGTAATGGCTAACAAAGTTACAGCAGCACATCTATGTCGTAATATATATGATCTACAATACCAAAAACATGATCTAGCTTTCGATATTCTACACTTCTATTACAGTAAAAGCGGAGACTCGCTTTAGTTTAAACCTATTGGGGCTTTTAATCGTAGGTAGAAACGACAAAAGACAAGACAAGAACTGACACTGGAACATTAACGACTCAATAGTGTCAGCTAATGTTATCTCGTAATTATCAAGCTCATGTTTATGTATGACGTTTTCAGCTACATGAAATACTTAGTAGCAGGTGAAAACTTCATACAAATACTTCAGTTTCAGTTGCCGCGTAGCATTGCTAGCTTCTACAATCCAAGCAAATACGTGAATCTGTAACTGGGATGAGAATTACATTACACTAAGGATTACTACTCAAGGTCAGATACATGAATCTTTAATCCGTGACTTACAAAAAATTTCAAACTTCTGGGACAAGAAATGTAAAACTACAAACAAATAGCAAAAATATTAATCAACAGAATGGTCCAGAATTCATTTAGAGTGCAGGATAAACAAGTCGTTGGTTGGATCCGAACCCAGATCCATTTTATAAACTGCATCATTGTTTCAGTGGGTATTTAGCTTCTAATAAAAACGCATATGAACGCGTTTCATTGACTTCCTTAGACAAAATTCAGACGAAATTGGCAAGCTTTGAGGAAGATACACTTGTTAAGAGATAAATGGGTTTATTCTCAAGAAAGAGTCGCGAGGCTGTTGTTACGAAACCCAGTATTTTATCAAACCTATATGTTTAATGGACAGATAAACTTCCTTACATACTAATACTGAAATACGTGGATCCCACAAACTAATATATGGGCCCAACAAAGCACTCTGAGGATGAGTTAATTTTATGACTGCTCTTGTTGGAAGTAATTAATGGACTATCACCCAACGAGCAAATTGGGGGTGAACACTACCGAGCGATACCATACTAGGACGAAACATGTCTAGTGCTCAGGCTTTTTGTGATACCCTGTATGACGAAAACAACCTAACGATTGACACGACCTCCGCGAAAACCATTTAGCTAATCGAAGAACTCTCAACCCTTTATACACAAGTGTACCTCGATCATCTTAAGAATTTATTTGGTTTACTTCGATTCAATTGCAGAACTATTTGCGGCTTCATGAGATGATATATTTTGATTTGTTCGCTTCCATAATAATTGGTCTAAATTAGTCACGCAAGTTCTGGACTGAAAATTGAAACACATGTGACACTCAGGTTTCGAACTAATCGGGACCAGAAATTTGATGACATGGTAAGTTAGGGACTAATAACAACGTTGCGCTAAGTTGAAAAAATAGTTAATAGCACGTTAAGTCAAAGATCAGCATTAATCAATACTTAACAGAAAACGCGTGGTAAGCTTACCTGGACATTATTTGTATGTATCCCTGAGTTATGTTCTTGAGCTGGATCCATCTACATAATGTACAAGACAAACTATTAATTCAAGGTGAATGTGACTAATTTAGAAGATCTGGACATAGAAAACCACTTAATCCATACAACTTTTATCCATCTAATGCCGTAAAACCTAACTCAATGACTATATCATACAACTTGGAGCTTAACCACGGGAAATGTTTTGATCTACTAAGATTGTATGGGCTTTAAGGGTAGTGCTAGACAACTGAAAACGAAGAAATGGAAACGGGATTTAGACCTACATTTTATTGGGTTTGAGTCACGTTCATAAATTACTGAAACCTACGTTCCCCTCATTCAGCAGCTGACTCAGTTCTGTAGTAGTGTACTGCTGCATTTCTAATCATAAGCAAGGTATTGTCTGAAGCTGAAATCATGAAAGCACGAGGAGTGCGATGGAATACCTTGTATTTCTCTTTTAAGATCTTGGCTGACATTGCTTGACTGCCAAAGTGGCTAATTAGAATGGAACACGCAAAGCTCCCTATTTTGGAGAGAATGTTGTCCGTTTTGGGGAAAGTTTGGAGAAGCTGCTACAGAAAAATTTGGGGAAATGGCACAAAACCCCCGAAATTTCCCCAAAATAGGGACATTGGGACATCTTTGAGAACCGCCACATGACGTGCTACTATTACACTAACTGCTTCCACACCAAGCTACTGAAATATATTTGCTGAATACATTATTGTGATAATCAATGAAGCACACTACACTGTTACAATAGGTGATGGTTTGGCATGTACAGCAATTGGCGTGCTTTCAAAGTAACTCTGTTGAGTTATAATTCGTGAACGCTTGCAGTTACAAATGAGCGACTTTCCGGATAGCAATTCGATTGAATAACTTCGACGCAGCTTAACTAAAAACTGTTAAATGTGTTGTTTCGACCAACTGTACGCATATTTGCGCACTCGTGGATTTAGCTAAACACTTAAACGTAGCACATCGTCATCATCATATTCGAAGTCACTTACTGTGAGTTCTAAATTAAGACTTCTTAAAATAAAATCACCACTTTTCTACAGAAACAGGGTAGATGAGCATTAATTTAGGCTAGCCTGGAATTATACTGATATACTGACCATAAGCAAGATAAAATCACGTGAACACGCACTTTTAAAAACTATTGAAAATTGTGAAGGTTTGCGTCTAGCCACAATATGTTTTGAGAATTTGGGGAATAAGTAGAAGGGAGATTGAGGTGGGCTGGAGAGAACATAGGAAAACGTGTGTCAACGACTTCGGATGTGCAAGCAATGCAACTACACTCACTACGGAAAACAATAATAATCAGTCAACATAGACATAAGCCTCAGATTACGACAATCTTGGGATCATAAATAGAAGCATATGGTTTAATCATCTACAAAAGTCAACAAGCGACCAACCCGCCAGACAACAAATGTTGATTTGTGCGCCAATAATGATAACTTTAACAACTCTTCAAATAGTTCATATAGAAATAGAAGACGCTTTAGTTTAGTGTGTTCCTATATCTAGTGGGAGGGAGTCACCGACGTCTTCTGGTAGGAGCTTAAATATATTCAACGATAAAAGAGGAAAATATCAGTAAACTACAGTAAGATACTGTCCTTGGTCCCTAAGAATATGTCACGTTTCCTCTTGCAGGACTCCTGTGAAATCTCTTGCATTAGCTTAGCCGACATCGAATTTCAACATCTGACTACTCTTAGGGAGTAGAAGCTGCGTCTGCAGTCCGTTTTGCTATGATGTGTTTCTAGTATCTGTGTGGTACCCACAAGAATTGTATTGGAACAGAGCTCAAACAGGTATTCAAGGGGATGTCTGGAAGTTTTTGAAATGCTTCAAATTAAGTTATCTGAGGGGTTCTTCATAAGAGTTGAGTTTGGGTCCCCGAACTGATTTCTTGGCCCACTGTTTGATACATCACAATGTACCCTCATCCTTTTAGAGTGAGGGAGGAAACATTATGACTTTGGTGGAGTTTTGTTCTCTGAGCTTGATGGTTTGGTCGTGGAGCTTTCATCGTTCTTCTGAACGACATTATGAGCACAAACTTCAGATAGAGGTGAAGTGTTCCCATACTCTAAACGGGGTCGAATAAAACTGTCGAACACAAAGTGAGCAGTTCTACCATCTAACTGGCCGAAAAGCCGCACTTCAATATTACCAGTGTACAATCTGCCAGAAAGGCATTTTTGTCTCAGTTGGCGTAAGACTTCAGATCATTGGACACCAACACTCCCAGATCATTTTCAACTTGTGATAGCTTTGGATGGTAGTTACCTAAGTTGTATGTATAATCTGCAATATGTCACAGATCGACCAATCTACATTTTAAAGTGTTAAAGATCGTTGTTTTCCATCCAACTCTGAAGTAGATTGTGATCGTCTTGAAGTGCCAGCTAGTCATCTTGGTTGCAAACTTCTCTCCAGAGTTTCACATCATCAGCGAGTAGTGATAAGTCGGACGACACCGGCTGAGGAAGGTCGTTCATAAAAATTAAGAAGAGAAGAGGTCCTAGTACTGAAACATGGGGAACCTCACCAAGACATTTCGTAGCCTGAGAAAAAGTAAGGTTTACCCTGACCCTGAAAGGTAAACCATTTAGATGTGGAGTAGGCCAAACAATTAACGGTGGCTTGGTACCTTGCCGTTTAAGCTCACTGATAAGACACATATGACTGACCCTATCAAAAGCTTCAGAGAAGTCAAGGCATATGACGTCAACCTTCCTTTTGCGATCAAGGATGGTTGTCCATCTGTCCACTGCGATCAGCGGGTTGGTTATACAGGAATGACCCTTTCTGAAACCGTGCTGTTGGTGTGAAAGGAAGTTCATGGCTAGTAAGTAGTCACGTAAGCCTCCTTTAAAAATTAGTGCTGTGTAAACGAGCTTTCAGTTTTCTGGTACCGTGCCTCGACTTGTCGATTAGCTTTATCTGATGCCAAAGCCCGTCTTCTCCTATTGTCTTCGTACATTGATTCCTCGCTTTTCTCGGATTGTCTGTATGTGCTGTTGTCACTAGTTCATTTATATTCCACTTAGTTGTGCCGTTTGTGTCTCAGAATTCTATGAGTGCGATTCCTTGTGGCTTTACGTTGCCCGCAACATTTGAGGACCATTTGCCAGGCAGAGTATTTTGTAACATATAAGATTGTGTGCAGTAAGAAATCGGAAGGAGCGTCTACATCAAGTTGAGGGTAGACATTTCAGTCTACCTGCCGTAAATTGTCCGGTAAAGCAAACCCATCAGTCCGTTTGAATTTCAACACCTATTATCAATAAGTTATTTTAACGTAATTTCAATAGTAAAATAGAAACCTGTAACGACGCGACCACTTTTTCACAGAGGACCTAGGATTGAGATGTTGCTACTCATGAATTCTTCGTTTGTAAAAACTCAATCTAAACGTGAGCATTGTTAGCATCACTTCATTCATGCAGCTCATCCATTTTGTTCAGTCAACTTGTTGCGTTCGTATATATGCAGTTTTGCTTCGAATTTGAAACGCGTGAACTACCTTGTCCTGTTTAGCTGAATAAGCTTAACGTGGATTGCCAGTCAGTGTTACAATGCTTGTAATATTAAAACCAGATTTCACTCCTAAGCTCACAAAGTTTTATTTCAAACTGTTCAGAATTGTATATACCGAAAAATGTCAAGGGGAATTTATAGTTACGAAAGTTTCATGATTGTTGTGTTGCCTTTTGCGAGTGGTTATAGTTCTTGAAGAAAGTTACCCAGTGGGTAATTCGAAATGTGGCAGTTTTAGATGGTTTCAGCTTAATTTTATCCCTTCCAAATGGGGGCCTAGGTATTTGATGTGATATAAATCAAAACTTAAATCCACATGGTGATTTTTGCGTGACATATTCAAAATACGCCGTAAGAATGAACTTTTTATTCAACTGTGCTATACTGAATAAAAGCTAGATTTAGACGACTCTGTAATTGGCACACGAATAGGGGTTATCAGATAACTGGAAATATAGACTGAATGGAACAGATCACCAATAATATTACGGTACTATTGTAACAACAGGATTCCAATATGTGATCTGAATGCAGAGGACGATCCAAAGAATAAGAATCTATTTGATTGACCTTAACTATGTTCTTTTGCATAGATCGTGAAGACTTTTGGAATTATTCACATTAAATCTCATTCAACCACAAGCTTTATGAATAATTCAAACGGTTCGAATTTAACAAGGGTGATAAATTATATCAAAAGGGCAAAATAAATCAAAAGCACGGCTTGAACTATGTATTTAAATTTACTACACACAGAAAGATGGTTAATAAATAAGCGTTATGTACTCGAAAATCAATAACATTATTACCAACATATTGGGATCAAATATCTATTTGAAAGGATCCGAAATTGCGTTTTCAGAAGGCACTCAAAGGTTTTCAGTGATCATCCACTTCACGTTGTAACTTTGAGTTTGGGCAAACACTAGCTTGTCGTCAATTACCCGGCATTATGAGCATTATCAGAAATGGTTAGGTTCTTTAACGAACGTTTGGGTGGATTGTATGTTTTTTCGACTACAGGTATGCCATATAATTACATTAATGTTCCATCCACAAGTATGTCTTAAACCTGATATTCATAAACCAACGACAGTTGAATTCTTTATTAAAAATTTGCTCGCGATTTGTGTGATCACGACTTGAAGTTGCAACTGGACTAAGAAATAGGAAACGTATCCGCGATTTGTTAGCATATCTGTTGATATGATATAAATGAGGACTTGAAATACTTACTATGTGGTTATAGATATGGTTTTGGTAAGTTATTTCACTCAGGGTTTACCCGAGAAGAAGCTTCTGTCATCTGAACTTTAGACTTTTACGACTGATGGATATAAATAACGAAGGAGTAAATAGTCCGCAGGGCTCTTCAGAAGTTATCACGTTTTGTTATTGGAAGTGAAGCGTCTCTTCAGCTTTCCCTGTGTTTTGTTAGTAAGAGGACTTTTCACTTAATGGTAAATGATTGACAATTAAAGTCTATCGAATGTGAAGATAAGTTTCTGGCATACTACTCATATTCCCCAGGTTTACCTTAGTGTATTCACATTTGAAATCATTCTATGAATCATATAAGGATATCGCGAATATTCAGGTATGACAGCGCTGTTATCTGTAACGCCTTTATGATCGTGCATCACAAAAACAACCGAAAAAGAATTGAAGAATATAGAAGTTCGGGGATATATTTGGAAGGTCGCCGATATGTTGAGAAGTGTATGGGCTAAGCTAACTGATTGTTATACGAATAAATATTTTGGGATCATGCGTCATGTAGTAGTGCCTTATTATAAACTGATGTCAGCCTATGTAATCACATACTTTATGTATCAGTGATTTAGCTATAGATTCGTCTACACAAATAAACTCAAGAAATTATCGTTTCTACACAGAAAATTGTTGCTACTTCAATCTGTTATAAGCTATTTAAAAAAAATCCTAATAGTTACATAACATGGGCCATACTAATTGTAGTCTCTGAAATTTAAATTTCTTCTTATATTAGAAAAACAATATCATCAGATCTATCTAACCTAATTGCTTTAACAACAAAAAAATTCATAATAAAGCAGTACTGAACAAGAATGAAATTTATTCAAGTTTTGCTAGTGTTCATCTTGTCCTTCATAACATAACGCTATCTGATCATGATGTCTCATCTTTTTGTTCCTTTTTGCTTGTATACATAAATAATATACCAATCATTTATAATTCTTTTGGTACAAACATCAAATTCCAAATTTTTATTCAGCGTTTATTAAATTCAGTCTGTTTATTTTCAACAAAAATATTTGGTAATATTACGTTCTTTGAGCTATATTGTGGTGTGGGTTACTTATATCCACATAAGTAGTATATAACAGTGGTCGGACATAGAAGGTATTTTAGTAGATCGAGAAGAAAAGAACGGCAACGGAACGCAATTGGCATGAAAATGCATGAACAATGAAATTTGAGATGAATAACTGATATTTGCAAAGGAAGAGTCAAATTAAAGACTATGGGATGATATTTTGCAAATTAACTATTTACTATATAGTTCTCAGATTTTAGTGAAATGCTCTGTAATTTCTTGTCAAATACATTCGATTGTCCCCACTTGTGTTTTTGTTCACTACAATATGATTTAATTACGGGGCTTTCACCATAGTTCTTAACAAAATCAACTCCTTCATATAAAAGTATAAAGTAGGCTACTTTTTGCATTCAAAATATTAATTAGTCTATTAAATTGCAATATTTATTCCACTATTTAAATTGTCTGATTACCGGTAAAATAGTTTGACAAAGATTTTTCTTCAGTTAAAGTTTTAGTTGTCATTTTTATTCTACTGAAATACAAGAAAAAGTAAGAAGAAGAATATATCACAAATAAAAAAGGCGAAAA